TTGCAACCAGTGATGCTGGGTTTTATCTGACCAGATGGCCAAACCATTTCAGTCTTTGTTTTTCAATAAATCTAATTACAGGTGTTGTTCCTACCATGTTTGGCATTGGTAACACAATGTTGGTAAAAAGATTGCGTTTGTGATTTGCCTTTTAGTTTCCGTCGGCTTTGCTGGGGGTTTCAGTATTGCGGAAAGAAGTAAAATCCAAAATATGAGTTGTTACATAGATATGTGTGAATGTGTATATATATACACACACACACACACATACGTATACACACATGCATGCATGCACTCACACTAAAACTTTTAAAACACTAACTCATTTATACAAACACTTAGTTAAAATTAACAGTAAATCTATAAGTCCCCAGTTAGCACAAATTTTTTAACACAACCTCTTGATTTTTCAGTCCCTGTGAATTCATGTTAATGAGGGTTTGCTATGTATATGTGCATATGCCGCACACACTCATGTATATACACACACACACCACACACCACACACAAACTAGTCACAGTTGGTACTTCCTAAAAACTTGTTACATGTTTGCTTTCAAAGAAGCCATATGTGTTTTTCAATTTGCAATAAGAATATTACAGTTTACGGGCTTTGGCTGTTTTTCTTTGTCTGTGGATGGTCTGTATGTTTAAATATAAAAAAAAAGTGACACTTACTGCCATATGTAAATAAATGTAATCAGTATCTGTGAGATGAGTTTATAAGTATGTATCAGAAATGTGTTACATTCACTGCAAGAATTGTATAAATAATTTGCCAAAAATGTACCACATTCACTGCCAGATTAGTCTAAATTTTAAACACTTATTTTTTTTATAACCATTTTCAGGCTTTAATTAGAAAAATTTGAGTCAATGTATTTGTTACAATCATTGTCAGACTTTCATAAATTGTACGCTATCTGTTTGTCCGCAGCCATACCAACATTTTCATGAGTATAAAACAGTAAATTTGTGGCAGCCGTTATTATTTTTTTTTGGGGTTGCTATAGATTGGAATATCCCAAGTGCTGTGTCAGTTCTTGACTCAGCTAAACTCAATTCCTATTGTTGCTTTTGTTTGATATGCAGATTCTTCTAATGAGGATGAAGATGAGAAGAAAGATGAAAAAGAGGAGGAAGAACAATGGTCACAGAAAAACTGGGAGGATCTTCTCTTAAAGGTAAAAATATCAAAAAATATTTAAGTTCCACCAGGAAACATGTGAAGACAACCGTCAGGTTAAACACTACTTTCAACGTGGGGGTTCCAGGGGGGAAACAGATGCTATTCTACAGAATGTCTCATTTACATTTAGTCTGGCGGCATTCTTACTAGATGACCAAATCATTGCATTCGCTGTCTTACAGACACAGTCTTGTTCCAACCTTGTTTCTGTTGCTGGTATTTGTGACCTTGTCTATTCTTGTGGATTTCAATCAGTTACAATTTATTTCATTTCCTATTTAACAATTGATTACATAATACTTCTTCTTCTTCAGCTTTAACCTTTCAGTGGAGCATAGGCTCACAACCAGCTCATGTCAGCTTTTTCGCAGACTTGTTCATGGTTGCTTATATGCTAGACAGCTAAAGTTTTCTACAGGATGATGCAGCCAGTTTCACGCCAACCTTCCTTTGTCAGCTTTTGTGGCATGCATGTCGATCACAGTTACTATTTATGGGTCCTGGTAGCACACAGGCTCAGACAGAATATATCAATCAAAGGTGTGGCAGGACTGAGAGAGCTGCTATTACTAATTATGATAATACACACAGCACAGATGGAATGATTGTAATTAAAATGACCACAGAATTTGTATCAAGCATTAAATTCAGGAAATTATTTCAAACCTATCCCAGTGTCATCAACATTAAGTGCTTTTCTGACTGGAATGGATAATTATGCTTTTTCACAATCTGTGATCACCTGATAATACCCCGCCATATAACGACAAAAGGGTGTCAAGAGTAATATTATTAACTAGATTTAATTTGTGCACATGCGTGATTTTTCAGCGACTGTAACAACAATGGTCTTCCCTTGACTTCCTCTAGGTTTGTGTATGGTTTTACTACATTAGCAGTTATCTCAAGAGACACCCTGCAAGGCAGTATGGGGGGTTTTGCTATGTATTGCACCTCTTTGTCTAAACATACCCTGCAAGTCAGCAGGATTGAGGAGTTAATGTATGGCATCTCTTTGTCTAAACATGCCCTGCAAGTCAGCAGGATTGAGAAGTTAATGTATGGCACCGCTTTCTCTAAACATGCCCTGCAAGTCAGCAGGATTGAGAAGTTAATGAATGACACCACTTCATCTAAAGATGCCCTGCAAGTCAGCGGGATTGAGAAGTTAATGAATGACACCACTTTATCTAAAGATGCCCTGCAAGTCAGCGGGATTGAGAAGTTAATGTATGACACCTCTTTATCTAAATATGCCCTGCAAGTCAGCGGGATTGAGAAGTTAATGTATGGCACCTCTTTATCTAAACATGCCCTGCAAGTCAGTGGGATTGAGAAGTTAATGTTTGACACCTCTTTGTCTAAACATGCCCTGCAAGTCAGCAGGATTAAGAAGTTAATGTATGACACCTCTTTATCTAAACATGCCCTGCAAGTCAGTGGGATTGGGAAGTTAATGTTGGACACCTCTTTATCTAAACATGCCCTGCAAGTCAGCGGGATTGAGAAGTTAATGTATGGCACCTCTTTGTCTAAACATGCCCTGCAAGTCAGCGGGATTGAGAAGTTAATGTTTGACACCTCTTTATCTAAACATGCCCTGCAAGTCAGCGGGATTGAGAAGTTAATGTATGACACCTCTTTATCTAAACATGCCCTGCAAGTCAGCAGGATTGAGAAGTTAATGTATGACACCTCTTTATCTAAACATGCCCTGCAAGTCAGCGGGATTGAGAAGTTAATGTATGACACCTCTTTATCTAAACATGCCCTGCAAGTCAGCAGGATTGAGAAGTTAATGTATGGCACCTCTTTGTCTAAACATGCCCCGCATGTCAGTGGGATTGATAAGTTAATGTATGGCACCTCTTTATCTAAACATGCCCTGCAAGTCAGCGGGATTGAGAAGTTAATGTATGGCACCTCTTTGTCTAAACATGCCCTGCAAGTCAGCAGGATTGAGAAGTTAATGTATGGCACCTCTTTATCTAAACATGCCCTGCAAGTCAGTGGGATTGAGAAGTTAATGTTTGACACCTCTTTATCTAAACATGCCCTGCAAGTCAGCGGGATTGAGAAGTTAATGTATGGCACCTCTTTGTCTAAACATGCCCTGCAAGTCAGTGGGATTGAGAAGTTAATGTTGGACACCTCTTTATCTAAACATGCCCTGCAAGTCAGCGGGATTGAGAAGTTAATGTATGGCACCTCTTTGTCTAAACATGCCCTGCAAGTCAGCGGGATTGAGAAGTTAATGTTTGACACCTCTTTATCTAAACATGCCCTGCAAGTCAGCGGGATTGAGAAGTTAATGTATGACACCTCTTTATCTAAACATGCCCTGCAAGTCAGCAGGATTGAGAAGTTAATGTATGACACCTCTTTATCTAAACATGCCCTGCAAGTCAGCGGGATTGAGAAGTTAATGTATGACACCTCTTTATCTAAACATGCCCTGCAAGTCAGCAGGATTGACAAGTTAATGTATGGCACCTCTTTGTCTAAACATGCCCCGCATGTCAGTGGGATTGACAAGTTAATGTATGGCACCTCTTTATCTAAACATGCCCTGCAAGTCAGCGGGATTGAGAAGTTAATGTATGGCACCTCTTTGTCTAAACATGCCCTGCAAGTCAGCAGGATTGATAAGTTAATGTATGGCACCTCTTTATCTAAACATGCCCTGCAAGTCAGCGGGATTGAGAAGTTAATGTTTGACACCTCTTTATCTAAACATGCCCTGCAAGTCAGCGGGATTGAGAAGTTAATGTATGGCACCTCTTTGTCTAAACATGCCCTGCAAGTCAGCAGGATTGAGAAATTAATGTATGGCACCTCTTTGTCTAAACATGCCCCGCATGTCAGTGGGATTGATAAGTTAATGTATGGCACCTCTTTGTCTAAACATGCCCTGCAAGTCAGTGGGATTGAGAAGATAATGTATGACACCTCTTTATCTAAAGATGCCCTACAAGTTAGCAGGATTGAGAAGTTAATGTATGACACCTCCTTGTCTAAACATGCCCTGCAAGTCAGTGGGATTGAAAAGTTAATGTATGACATCTCTTTGTCTAAACATGCCCTGCAAGTCAGTGGGATTGAGAAGTTAATGTATGACACATTTTTGCCACCATAATAAGTGGTAAATACAGCAAGGAAAGACTCTGTTTATGATGAAGTGTCACTGCAAGATGTCCTGTTTTTTGAGATTTTTTCCCCCTTTAAAGCTGATTATCTCTTCTACTTGTTTTCCCCCTTTAAAGCTGATTATCTCTTCTACTTGTTTTCCCCCTTTAAAGCTGATTATCTCTTCTACTTGTTTTCCCCCTTTAAAGCTGATTATCTATTTTACTTGCTTTTCTCCTTTAAAGCTGATTATTTCTTCTACTTGTTTTCCCTTTTTAAAGCTGATTATTTCTTCTACTTGTTTTCCCCCTTTAAAGCTGATTATCTCTTCTACTTGTTTTCCCCCTTTAAAGCTGATTATCTCTTCTACTTGTTTTCCTCCTTAATAAAAAAACATTTAAAAATTGCAACCATTTTCGTAATGGAGGTTGGCTGCTCCTCTACTAACTTTAGGGAATATTTTGTGGTGAGGTCTCAATCTCTTCCAAGGTATGATTCTCATACCACTGCACTAAAGTCCTGAGAATAGTTTTTTTTTTTTTTTCTAAACCACCCACATGATAATCGAACCCAGGTAAGTATTGTAGATAATGTCTCTGTTATTTATTACTTTATAAATTTTGTATTTTATTGCCATTGTAAGTCACAGTCACTGTTTTTATTGATGTTTTATTTTGAACTATAGATGCTTTCTAAAAGCTTGGATGTTGTAGACTCTGAGGAATGGACGGCTGAACTTGGGGACGCTTTTGGGCAGCAGATTCCATTGTACAATGCTTATGCTGAAGAGAGGGTAAGCTGAGTCGTCTGCTGCAATTACACTTAGTTCTGTAGTCCTCAAAATGTACATCACGAATGACTTTGTGTTGAGAATTGGAGAGAAGTGTGGAAAATAATTACAAGAGAGCATAGCTTCTTTTTCTTCTGGGAAGGTAGGATGAAACATTATGTTGTTGTTTACAGCTAGGTTGAGATATCTGAACCTTTCGACTCAACACATCTGATTTCAACAAACTCTTAGTCAGCCACCTTTTATGACATGTTTGTTAAGGAGCAGTGGGTTTGTCCCACCTGTCCCCAATGGGGCCCCAGGACCCACACGGGGAAGGCAGCATATAATTTAGATCATTTGAAATACATATCACAGTGAAACAGTAGATATGAATGTCATTAACAGATTAATTTAATTGATTTGATTTGATTTGATTCAAGAACCGACATCACAGCAATCGGGGCATTCCCATAAACGCTCAGTCCCCATCTTCAGCAGCCAGCAAAGAGTTCTGATACTAATGGTGCTAGTAGCTTTCTGATTAAACGTCCGTCTTGCCTTTCCTCTGAGCCTCGAGCATCTGCCAGAACCTCTCGTCACCCCCAACTGCATCAATCTCACCAGACTGTGATCCATCTGGTGATCCGAATTGTACATGCTCTCCCACAAGGCACTAACCACGTCTGCCCTATCCTGTATCAGTATTCCACCAAGTTGTGCAGAGCCAGCCAGTCTGTCCGCCTGTTCATTTCCCAACAAACCGGCGTGACCTGGTGAAAAAATCCAGACAATACTCCTCACTCGTGTCCTCCGCAGCGAAGCATGCCACTCTGAGATTAATTTAATTTCTTTGACAATATGTAAGTGTGTTAATATCTGTGTACATCTCTTTTTCTCTCATATATATGTGTGAGTGTATGAATGTCTGTGTGCATCTCTCTTTCTCTCATATATGTGTGTAGTTGTGTTAATGTCTGTGTGCATCTCTCTTTCTTTTATATGTATGTGTATTGAGTGTATATATGTCTGTGCATCTCTCTTTCTCTCGTATATTTGTATGTGAGTGTATGAATGTGTGCATCTCTCTTTCTCTCATATATATGTGTGAGTGTGAATGTCTGTGTGCATCTCTCTTTCTCTCATATATACTTGTGAGTGTGAATGTCTGTGTGCATCTCTCTGTCTAACACACATATCTGTGTGAGTGTATGTATGTCTGTGCATCTCTCTTTCTCTCGTATATATGTATGTGAGTGTAAGAATGTCTGTGTGCATTTCTCTTTCTCTCATATATATGTGTGTGAGTGTGAATGTCTGTGTGCATCTCTCTAACACACATATGTGTGTGAGTATGTACAACTTTGTGTGTATCTTTTTATTTTCTCACATATGTGTGTGAATGAGTAACAATTCAAACCCCTATCAGCCATAAAAATTAACACATTAACCAAATTAGTTTGCTCTTGTTGTGATGCCTAATGTCTTTGTCTAAAAAATTAGGAAAATAAATGTTTAATAAATTAATTAATAATGTAATCCAAAATTATAATTTATTCACCACCAGAATTTTGCATTCAAATGCCTCGGCATCATCATGCGCAAATCAACCAAGAAGGATTTTGTGATCAAGCATATTGACCTGATTTTCAGCACTATCAAGCACCTGGACCAGGTGGAGCGCGAGGTACTTACTTCCTGAGTGCTAAAAAAAATACCAGTGGTGATTTATTTTTACTGCATGATTTTTTTTTTAATTTTTTTTTTTTTTTTTTAGAAAAGAAACTTTTCACCTCAGCTCGTATGTTGTGGCTTAAAAAATGATAAGACCTGATAATTGATATCACTTTTTTTATTGGTTCATTTAGGAAAGGTCATGTCTACTGCCATTGATAAGAACATGTAAAGAGCTAACAGCTTGATATCACTTTTTTTATTGGTTCATTTAGGAAAGGACATGTCTACTGTTATTGCTAAGAACATATTAAGAGCTAAAACTTGATATCACTTTTTTTAATTGGTTCATTTAGGAAAGGACATGTCTACTGTTATTGCTAAGAACATATTAAGAGCTAAAACTTGATATCACTTTTTTTAATTGGTTCATTTAGGAAAGGATATGTCTACTGTTATTGCTAAGAACATATTAAGAGCTAAAACTTGATATCACTTTTTTTAATTGGTTCATTTAGGAAAGGACATGTCTACTGTTTTGCTTAGAATATGATAAAACCTGATACTTGTTACTAAATTTTTCTTGTTTTATTTTTTAAAGCACATATCTAATGTTATTGTTTAGAATGAATGAATATCTTAAGACCTAAAACTTGATAATACTTTTTTCTTGATTTTTTAAAGGAAAGGACGTGTCCACTGTCATTCGATTAGAATAAGTTAAGACCTAAAACCTGATACTACTTTAGGAAAGGACATGTCCCCTGCACGAGCTGAAAATATGTTTAAGACCTAAAACTTGAAACTACTTTTTTTTTATTTATTAATTTATGAATGGACCTATCCACTTTTATTGCTTAGAATAGGTTAAGACCTAACAACCAGCAACTGCCTAAATATTGATTAACCACAGGGAATGTGGTTACTAAAAAAAAAAAAAAACTTATACTTCTTTGACTGTGCTTTTAACCAAATTAAAAAGTATAAGAAAACTGAATCTCATATTTGAGACCAGGAAGAGGATTTATAACTCTCTAGTGTCTTAACATTATCCATATATTGTATGAAAGCTAATTCTCAAACTTTTGTTAATATTGTATATTTACTGAAAGTTTATACTCTATCAATTTGGTCAAACATTATTAGTATGCTGGTACTACAAATGGTTCATTAAATAGTTCGGGTTTTAAGCCAATAGTTATCAGGTATATTTTGACTGAAGCGCATTCATAGTCTATTTTATGGTAAATTTACCTGTATGTATACTGACTGGAAGTTTATTATCTAGTTTATAACAACATTATCTGTATACTGACTGAAAATTAATTCTCCAGCTCGATAACAACTTTATGTAGGTGTTGACAAATATTTGGTTAGAATAAATTTCATTTACATTTACATTCTTATGCCAATTATTATTTCAGTGCTATTCGTTTGATGTAAGCAAACATTGGTATATCTATGTGCCTCTGGCGCTTCACTGTGGCTGTGTTTATTCCCAGGAAATGTTTACATTTAGCACAAATTCTCTGTTTCACCTAACTGTTTTAGTTATAAACTGTTGTAACTGCAGAACTTTTATGCCACAGTATGTGAACTAGGATTCTTGAGAACTGGGTGGAAACAGCAATCTTTAAGGCCTGAGGGCCTCGAGTTAACTTTGGACGCAACGCAACAACGTATGAACGGCCTTTATGATCCGGTCTGAGAGAGGTTTCTCACAAAGCAAAGCCATCGTGTCCCGAAGAGCATATTCTCAAAGACAAAAGGAGATTATAATGAACACAAACAACAAGAATTTTTTTTTAATCACTAGTTGCCTATACTTTTACGTGCTTTTTGAGCAATTACAATTCAGTACACAAACATAAAAACAATATATTCTTCCGGATTTCCATTGCCTCATGGGAAACATGGTGATTGAATAATAAGATTATTGCATATTCTTGTCTTGTTCATCATTCTGCTGTACTTGACACAGTGTGAGTGTATTGTTTGTTTACAGCACGGCTGTATATTATGCGCCATTATTGGTTTGACTGATCTGACGTTCATTATCTGGTTTATTTTTATTATTTCCGGGTTAGCGTTCCTGATTTTATTGCACATATAAGACACTCGTCTCTCTTCTTTTCCGTCATTTTTTTTCTAAATGTCTAATCACGTACATTTTCGCAGAACATTTGTAGAAGTTCATAACTCATTTATGGTGATGCAAAAGTTATCACATCTATTATGCATCACCTTCTTCTTCTTCGTGTTCACCGCAATGTAAACTCTGGTGTAAGTTCAAGATGTTCGTCACCTCCAGACTTTTAGTTATATTCCAGAACCTGAGAGTTTGCATGCACATCCGTTTCACAGAACTGGCTTATTTGACGGCAGACTCTTGGTTCATTGCCTCTCAGGCAGATGTACTCAGACTCAGAAGGAGGGCCCTCAATTTATCGACTGCTACAACATGCTTATTTGGAAGTCATTGGGTCTGTTCTTGTTTTCCCCACAATGGAGCTCCCAGAACCCACACGGGGAATCTTTTATATATTTTTTGGCGTGGTTTTCCCCCCTCTCTTGGACACATTTTTTAAGCATATGTAGGAATAAAATGATACACAAAAATGATTTTATTGTTACCGAACACGTTAATCTATATCCAGCAGTCTGTGAACATATCTTATAAATATTATTAAATTGTTTACTTTTTCAGTATATAAAATTTAATAGCACTTAAATTTGGAGGTCATTGTTTGGGTTCCAGTCTCCTGTTTTGTGTGGGAAAAGGATAAATCCACTGTTGCACTATCAAGTTTGTTGTAAACAATGACTAATAATTAAGGCTTTGTTGGATTCAAATGCATTGGGTGAAAAGGCATATCTATTGCAGGCTCACTGTAAACCACAACACAACCTGCTCAGAACTGTCCTCAATTTATCGATGCTAGTGCATGCTTATTTGGGAGAAGATGTAGAAGAAGTGGAGGGGGGAACCCACACGGGGAATCTTTTATATATTTTGTTGCGGGGGGACACATTTTATATGTAGTATATACACAAAAAATGATTTTATGTTACGTTATGTATACTAATTTCTATAACAATCTTTTTAAATAGTTCAATACTATTTTTCAATTAACAATTTATTAGCAATAAATTACTACTCTGGTCTCAGATAAACTTAGCACACATCACACACCACTCCACACACACACACACACACACACAGAATGTTTTCTTTAGCTTTCACAGACTGACAGTCTGCTTTCTAGCATTCTCTCTACTCTTTCTCTCTTTCTCTCTCTTTCTCTTCTCTCAAACTCTCCTCTCTCTCTCTCTCTCTCATCATCTCTCTCTCTCTCAGATCTCTCTCTTTACCTCTCTCTCTCTCTCTCTCTCTCACATCTCTCTCCACCTCTCTCTCTGACAATCTCTCTGAATCTCCAATCTCTCTCATGTCTCTCCAATCTCTCTCTCTTTATTGTAGTAATCTCTCTTATCTTCTCTCTTCTCTTTCTCTCTCTTTCTCTATCTCTCCCTTCTTTCTCTCTCTTTCCAATCTCTCTCTCTCAAGCACACACACTCCAATCTCACTCTCTCTCTCTCTCTCTCTCTCTCTCTCTCTCTCTCTCTCTCTCTCTCTCTCTCTCTCTCTCTCTCTCTCTCTCTCTCTCTCTCTGTCTCTATGCCCCTGTCAGTGTCCTTCTCTCACCTATAAGTTATTTTATGAGATACAAGATTTTAAATATTTCCTTGCATCTAAAATTATTACTAGTTAAAAACCAAAATATGATTTATGAAAATGAAGAATAACTATTGATTCAAGTCATCGCAGATGTTGCTAATGTTTAACTGTTACATGTGTGCTTTTCAAGCAACTGCTTGTATTTTGTCTGTTTGCTATAATAATTTTACAATTTTTTTTGCTTTTGGCTATTTTTCTTGTCTGTCTCTCTGAGTGTGGATGGTCTCTTTTTTAAAACAATATGTCATCTAATTTTCTGTTTTGTTTTGTTTCTGTAAAGAGAAAGGTCCATGCAGGTTTTATATCCGGATTGGAAACACCATTTCTGGTTTGAGAAATTTAAACTTCCTAACAGTTTCATCCCTTTAGAAATAACCCAGCATGCACTAACTTGTTCCTGTGATGTGTCTAAATTGTTCTGTTTTAAATTCTGAGATTTTCACAGCGGAGGTTGGTTGAATGTTGAATTAAAAATTGACATCATAGCACTGGGGACACTCCCATAAACACTCTGTCCCCATCTTCAGCAGCAAGCGAAAAGCTCCGGTCCCGATGGTACCAGTAACTGTCTGATTGTACATCTGTCTTGCCTTTCCCTTGAGTGTTGAGCGTCGGCCAGAGATCCTGGTAACTCCTTGCAGCACCATTCTCCTCAGACCGTGCCTAGTCAGTGTTCAGGCGTTCCCAAAGGGTCCTCACATCATCCAGCTTGTCATACATCAGTTCACCACCAAGTGGTGTAGAATCGGCCAGTCTATCTTTCTGCTCATTTCCCAACACACCAGCATGACCTTGAGAAAATATCCAAAGGGCACTAACTACCCAGGGCCTCTGAAGCGATGCTTGCCACTCTGCACAGAACATGCCTGTCTCCACCTGTCTCAACATAGTCTGTGAATCATTTACAATTATGACATGTCTGTACAACTGATTCTCAATCCAATGGGTTAGTTGCAGCTTATCTGCTGCTGAGAATATTACGTGGTAAGGCCTCATACTTACTTTTATCTAAAAGCCACATGAACAGCATTTTCTAAATTGCTTACTGCAGGAGTTGAACCAACCCTGGTAAATGTCTTAGATTGTTTTGTAAAACAAATTTCAGATGATAGAAAATTGTTTTGTCCTTTTTAGGATGAAATTTTTTGTTATGTGAAGCCCCACCCTGGCCAGGGGCCGCAATATAGGCAGGCCATAAATATGGCCAATTGTCTGAACATGGTTTATGGGACCTCTCCACGGCAATCCTCATCCACATGGTGGCACTTTGTGTCATCGGGTGTTTATTGCTTGTGTGATGTCCTAGTGGGGTAGAAAGTCAGTCAGTCAAAACAAATTTCACTATGCTCTAAGCCACAGAGCCACACAGAGTCCATTTTACAAGCCCCCAAACTAAAAACTTCACATTTTAATTAGCAATGAAACAAATTTGTGTCTGATTTAGTTATTACATACACCAGTTATGAAATGATGAAAGGAAATTAACTTTTTTTTTTTTTTATATTTACACTATTAGTACCAAGCAGTGCAATATATGTTTATTGATAACTTTTTACAAAGAAAACTTTTCTAAGTTTTTATGGCTCTTTCTTCTCTTATATTAATCTGCCTGTTACTGTTTACTTTAACTTGTTGTATCTTATGTATGTATTATTTGTTATTAGGAGCAAATTTCTTCTTCTTCTTCTTCTTTGCGTTCACCAGCTGTACACTCTGGCGGAAAGTTCTGGTTGCTCGTCCACTACTGTACTGTAGTCCTGCTCCAGAACCTGAGTGTTGCGTGTGCATCAGTTTTACAGATCTCATTCTCTTGAATACAGACTGTTGGTTCCTTGCCTCTCGGGCGGATGCACTCCAACTTCAAAGGAAGCTCCCCAATTAGTCGACTCTTACGACATGCTTTTGGGGAGGCAGTGGGTCTATTCTTGTTTTCCCCGCAATGGGGCCCCGGAACCCACACGGGGGTGGAGCAAATGTGATTCATTGTTTGTTACCATGCTAAAACATTCTGGTACAAATAATCCATATTAAACTTACTGGGGCTGAAAGGGTTGAAAGATGTCTCTTATTTGGTATTAGTTAATATTGTTATATTGTCTTCTCTTGACAGTCCAGTGCCATTCTGTTAAAGAGATATCAAACCAGTGAAAAAAGTAGAACTGATCAGCTTTAAAATATCACAAATGACAAGTGAATGTTTCAGCTAGAAAGACTTCATCAACACATACCATGAATAGACAATGTTACATTTGCAAAGGAGATTACACAAAATCATTTAACTAGGGTCTTTTCAAGAAAAATCAAAATGTCGTTTTGGTGAATTGAAGCTCTGAGACATGCGTGAATACATAAAATGAATACTAGCCACTAAGTGATGTAAATGGCAAGATCTGCAGCTAAAAAATATTAAACATTCTCTTGAAGGTGAAGATCAGATATCCCTGTGAATTGTCACCACTTTCCGGTTCTTGCTGTTCATAAATGTAAATGAACATAGTAAAACATATTTAAAAAATTGATCTAGACTCTCAGGTAAATCTTGTCTACAAATGGAGCCAAGAAATATTATGGGAAGTAAAGGCGGCTGGCAGGATTTAGGCTGCATCATCCGTTGAGTGCCTCATTACATAAAAGCTTATTTAATCATGAAAAACTTTGCAAAAATACTTGTTTGTAAAAGTAACAAATGCAAAATAAAAAATAGAATTTTTGTCTGATTTTAGGTTTAAATAATAAATTTACAACTGTAAAATATGTAAATAATGAGAGTTCTTCTTGTAATAGATGTAAATGATTGATCCACTTTTGGTAATAACTGTAAATAATGCATATATTTATCAATAACAACACTGAGTCAGATTTATTTAAAAAATAATTGCGGCTCCCAAGTTGATCTAGCCTAAAATGGGTACCAGCTAGTGTGGGAAGTAAAGGTTGCCAGCTTAAATGGCAATGATTGATGCACATTTTGTAATAGATGTAAATGATGTCTATATTTTTAGTAAATTTATGTAAATTATGTCTCTTTTATAAATAAATGTAAATAATTCATCCAATTTTAATAATGGATGTAAATCTTTCATCCACTTCTAGTAGTTGATGTAAATGGTGTCTATGCTTTTAGTAATAGCTGTAAAAATAGATGTACTTTAGATAATAGATGTAGAGATGAATATGCTTTAAATCATGTGTTTAATTACTTTTGGCTGCACTTTAAATGGATTATTAATGCACACAACAGCCAACCTTGTTAATTAACTAAAACATTTAGTTCATTTGCATGACTGTTCTGGAAAGTCCAGGCAATGTTTGGAGTTTGTATGAGTGTGCATGTGTATGAGAATTGTGACACACACACACATATGCATGTATGTGGAATCCTTCCTTGGTAGCTGGTCATTTCCTTAATGTACCATTAAGAGAATAGTTCCAAGTAATGCATGAACTTGAATTTAATTTATTGATTCAGCATGTCTTTTTGGAAGGCCGTGTTGTTGACATGAAGACAGATAATTTTCCCCTCATAGTGCATGTCTAAAACAAAATTTCATAGATATGTTTCCTAGTTAGCACATGTTGTTGACACAGATTCATCCAATATTTTCTACACAGCACAAGTCCCTGACATATTTATCAAATGTTTTATTGATAGCACAATTCCTTGGCATGATTTCAACAAATATTTCTTGTTAGTTCATGCTCTTAAACATTACTACATATTTAGCAAATCTTCTTCATTCTTCATGTTCCGGCTGTAAACTCCTGCGGAAAGTTCTGGTTGTTCATCCATCTCTGGACTGCAGTCCTGTTCCAGAACCTGAGTGTTGCTTGTGCATCAGTTTGACAGATCTGACTAATTTCTATGCAGACTGCTGGTTCCTTGCCTTTCAGGCAGATGCACTTGACTTCGAAGGAAGCTCCCAATTAGTAGACTCTTACGACATGCTTTTGGGTAGGCAGTGGGTCTATTCTTGTTTTCCCTATAATAGGGCCATGGAATCAACACAGGGACAAATTTAGCAAATGATAATATGTATGAAATACCAAATAATTGAGACAGGTTTTGTGAATAAGATGAGTTCTTATTATTTTTTGTAGGCAGTGATAATGGACACCTGACCATCTTCCTGTCAGGCATTTTGCATTGTGGGTAATTGCCATGAGGGCATTAAGACTATTAAGCACTTACTAAATACTTGAAGTGTTTCTTCTTCTTCTAGCACTCAGCAACTGTATACTCAGTTGGAGAGTTCTGGTTGTTTGTCCACTTCTGGACTTTGGTCTATTCCAGAATCTGATTTTTTGTATGCACATCTGTCTTACAGGTCTGGCTGATTGATACATGCAGACTATTGGTTCCTCACCTGTCAGACAAGTGGACTCTTATTTTCAAGAAAACATCCATAATTAGTTGCACTTTACAGTTTGCTTGTTAGAGGCAGCGGGTCTATAATCCCCCCCCCACCCCCCCAAAAAAATAAGACCTCGAAACTCACACTGATGTCCCGGAACAAGACCAAAATCTAGGAGTGGACGAACAGTCAGAACTTCCCCTGGAGTTTACAGCTAGTGAATGCTAAGAAAGAAAGTAGAAGATCAACTTGCCTAAAATTTGTACTAGAAAATGTCCTGGGAAATAAAGGCAGCCAGCATAGTGTTGACTACATCACCAGTTGAGTGCTCACTGGTGTATAAAAATATGGGTAAGCACGATAGTCCCATGCACCTGTGGTGTGAAAAGTCCTTTGCTAGCAACACGGAATAACTTAATTGTGTAAAAACCATATTGTAGTTTTGTAAGCTAAACAGATCTCTTTGCAGCAAATAACGCTTTCTGTACCAATGAACTCACTCTACGTTAATTGTTTACACTATATGTGGTACACATTCCTTTACTTTTCTATCCCATTCATGTCTTATATTACCTCTGTATGTTTCCAGTTGTTATAATAACACATTATCTGCCAAAGCTGTATTTTTCAGCTCTATAAGACTACAAATATTTTGCTCTGGGATACACAAACTTTAGCACAGACATTGTTGAATTCAACACTATCTGGGACTCTCGTGTCAGAATTATGTATTGCTGAATTTCTCACTTATTGCATCAAACCATGAGTAAAGATTATATACATTGGTATTTTTGTGCTTGAGCTTGTTCTGTTTAAATCTGTTTTTCTTGCATTTTTATTTTTTTTTTTAAATGAAAAAAGCATAAATTTACTGAGTCTTCATCATTGAAACACAAGTTGAAAGTTGAGAGGATTAACTTCATTGCACTGGATTAAATTTAAGAACATCTGTAGTTTTTCATGATGTTGAACCTCTAGAAAACATGAACATCTGTACTTGTTCATGATATTGAACCTCATAATTGAATCACCAAAGTTAGATAAATCTTCCTTGTCTCCAGGGTTGTGCCATAGCTGTCGGCTACACAGCTTCCTCCCACCTGGACACTGTCCTCACCAAGTTGGAGAGCGTGGCTAAGAATGACATGGGCAAAAAGTCGTCTGGCATCCTCAGTATTTTAAAGGTATATTGATTCAGCTAATAAGATCCTGCCTTGCCAGATTGTGTCGGCATTCATATTTCTCTACAAATCTACAAGTCGTTGTTCTGGGTCAAATCTATCATGCCATCAATTTTTTACCATTTGACTTCATTTCACTTTGTCTTTCCCTTTCCTGCCTATCACTGACTGATCTTTCCTATTAAAGTGATATGCTGTAATGTGTAACTAAGTATAGAGTTTGATATACCCTTCTAATAGGACAGGCTAAAACTGCATTTTATAAAATGAAGAAAATTTTATGCAGTAAATCCATTTAACTGGAGGTTACTAAAAAAGAATTGTCATGTGCTGTATAGAGCCAGTTTCAACATATGGCTGTGAATTATGGACAGTTAATAAACAAGTCTAACAATTTCTGGAGGCCTCGGAGATGTGGTTTTACAGAAGAATCCTTAGAATTCTGTGAACAGAAAAAAGAAAAAAAGCAACCTAGATGTTTTGAAAAGCCACGGACTTGAAGAAAAACTTATCACAAGATCAGAAAGAGACTGCCTTCATTTTTTGGATGATGTTGAGAGAAGAAGGAAATTAGAACATGTTATGACCACTGAAAAGATCTGTGGAAAAAGAGACTGAGAAAGACAACATGAGAGAATTCTTGTCAACCTTTTTTATGTGGCATGGATAGGGGTGAAAGCACACAAAATAAAATATGCCTGTGAAGATCGTAGATTGTGGAGAGGCATGATAGCCCATGCCATTTGACAAAGCAATTGATGATAATGATATCCTTCTAATAAATGTGGCAGTTTTCCTCGATGCCACCGTCATATTCCATCTAGCATCCTTTCTCTTGGTCTGCCTCACCTGCTACTGCTGCTGATCTTTACAAAGGGGTTGACAAGATGGTTGTGAGTCGGTGCTCCATGAGGAGTTGAAATGCTTAAGAAGAAGAAGTCAAGGTTAACTAATGTTTGCTGTAAATCAACAAGATGTTTATTAATATTCTAATGCAAATGCCACGCCACTCTAATTCCTGCACAGTGTTATGCTTATTTTGATGTATATAGTATCACTTACCTGAGGTCTCTTCAAGAAAAACTCAAATGAAGCTGACAGGAGTTCTTGTACAAAGATCCTGGACTTGTTTGTTTCCATGACCTCCCATTTTTACCATGAGACACCTTTTTATATACAACATAACTGCTTTGTTTCAGGACAAAACAGAAGTCAATGTTGAACAAGTGAAGGCCACGTTGATGTTATGTTATGGTTTTGTTGTACTTTATTCACCACCATCACTCATCATATCTCGGATGGAAGCCACCATTCTGCGCACCATCACACCTTATTTTCCAACCGTCAAGGTAATTCTGTAGTTATCTCTGTGACTAAATCGTCTCTTAGATTAAATCTTAACTCTTAACCCTTTTGCCGTAAAGAGCCCAAAAAATAAACACTTTCGATTGGCACTATTTCCCCTAAGAGCCGCTTTTCCAACTTGCTAAAGAGGCAAGTTTACTAAACATCTAGGAAACAAAATTCAATGCATGTGCATCTGGTCAAGCATTCAGCTTGAGAGGGGAGACTACATTTACTAAAAAATAGTAGGGGGGGAGGGTGGATGAGGCCCTTTAAAACAAATTGCTTTATTTATAGAAATGTCTACATCATATATTTTCCATTAGCTACAGTGGTTACTGGGCAACTTGGTCACAGGGTCAAGTAAGTGTCACACTATAATAAGTTTACAGGCCCAAGAGATGTAAGCCATTTGAATCTTTGCTTGCATTCAGTTTTATTAATCACTCCTGTTACTACTTTTTATTGTCTTTGTGTTTTGGGTGATAAATAAATTTTTGTTTGTGGTGTGTGTAAAATGGTTGTTTTTCTACTGATTTGTATTTTCGGGAATTTCAGAAAAATTGAAAGTCTGAGAGTTTGGCTTTGGTTTTTGTTTTCCTTTCTGGGTCACTAGGTTTAAAGGGTTAATCTCCAACCACACTCAGCCTGTAGTATCCAGCACAGAACTGGTGTCATCAGCTACTACATTTATTAAAATTTACTGAGGAATGAACCCAGTGAAGATGATCTATTGGTTACCTGATTTGTGCGAAACATTTGATCACAAAAAATACAATCCTAAGACCATATTCACAGCACAACTCAGTTCCCGATGTGGGTTGGTAGAGGTACCTTGGAGTGGCTGCTGCATTGGAGGACTCAAGGAATTTCAGTGAACTGTGACTCAAAAGCTCAACCACATAGGAAAGCAGAAAAGCAAAGCGTGCGCAAAACAAAACAAATAACATTTTGGCCAGCAGACTTTGTCAAACATAAAGTGAACTACACAAAGGTTTTAACAAATGTGATGTGGAATGAATAAATGAAATAAAATAAACGGTTAAAAAATATAGTCACAAAAAAAAATAAAAAGTAAAATTGTTAAAATATAATATAATATAATAGTAGGAATAAAAGAAATACAAATGTAAATGATACATACATGTTACTGATAAGAGCTAGAAAAAAAGTAATAATATGAAATAAAAGAAAAGAAAAGAAGAGAAAAAAATTAAAATTAAAAATGTGATAAATGTAAAACTGTTTAGATGAAAGTATGTTGGATATTGATACCATCTGGACTAAGAACACCCAGGCTGTGGATGAGGTGGTTTTCCAAAGCGAAGTGCGTGGTGTGACACTATTGGAGGACATTGATTCTGATAACATAATCCCAGTGTGGGTTTCGAGGCCCCATTGGGTGGGGGGGGGGGGGGGGTATAGACCCACCACAGCCTCTAAACAAGCATGTTAGAAAATTGGACTAATTAAAGGTTTGTGAAAATTTGGTATGTTAAGCCAGAAAGTAAAGATATCACAGCCAAGCTGTGAACTACTGTACAAAGTTCCACCTGTGTTTTTGAAGGCAAAAGAAGAAGAAGAACTCAGTGTCCAGGTGTGGTTATTTGCTGTATGCTGGTAGATGTAATAAAGAAAAGATTAGGGCACCCATGGTCATGTTCAGAGTTGATAATGATGAGCTGAACTGAAATCAGTGGCTTATAAACAGACTCACTGTTCTTTTTTAATTCATTTTGTGCCATTCTGTTCTTATTTGAAATGATAGTTTGTGTCATAAATCTGGAAATCTCTTTGTGAAACTGTGCACTAAATTGTGGGATAACATTGTTTTAGGACACAAGTGTTAAACAGAACCTGATAAGGTGTGCTGATTTGATTGCACAAGCGCTGCACCCAGACCACCTGGAGCAGGAGTACAAGTTCAGCACTAGAGGAGAGTTCCTCGTTCACATGCAGGTCAGTTGATTGTTTTTGGCTATTGTTATTATCTTTGTATGGCACTGGCGTATTGGATTTGTGATGCCAAACTTATAATTTTAAACATCAGTCATCAGCATTTGAAAGCTGATGTGGTGGACTGGGCTCTGGCCACCTTTACTTCCTGGTACATGACCTGGTGTCCTTTTTAGGCTGGGTTGACCTCGGAGCCAGTGTCACTGTTTTCCCAAACCCACCTTGTGTGGAATTGAAACCATGATCTTCGGACCAGTAGGTGAGCATCTAGCCCCTGCTACCACAGCTGCTATTATTATAATTATAATTAATTAAGTATATTCTTGTTCATGTTATAGATCCTTAGGTCAGTGGACATAAGTGACATAATGAGGTAGGTAGAGGTGACAAATCACTCTGTGTAGGCAAGATCTGAGTGGGATGGGCACAGAGCAGAATTGTGGAAGGGTATACAAACAGGTAAGTCGAAATGACAGATGAATGAGGGATTATATGATCCTTAATCTTGTCTTCTTTTCCTTCAGCTTTTAAGCCTTTGAGGATCATTGCTGCAGAGATCACCCACCTCCATTCATCTCTGTGATTGGTCCTCTCTTTTCACCTGGCGACTGTAGATGTTTTTAGGTCTGCTTGAATATTATCTGTCCAGTGTCTTCTTGGTCTGCCACATGGTCTATGACTATTCAACTCCCTTGCTTACACATTCTGTGCCTTTCTGTCACCTTTCTCAGTATGCCTCAATCATTTCAGTCTTTTAGCCCTTGTGATCAGTTGGGATTTAAAGAGATTATAAATTTTGTGGCTTTGCCTCTCTCTCTACTCCCTGATGTTTGCATCTTTGAAGGGTTGAAAGATTTATCATAAGATTCTGTTTTTAAAACTTTCAGAAGAGCAGATTTTTACAAATGTGAATAAATGAAACTGTTTTACACACTTAGATCTGTGATAAAGAAGAGTCTGACTGACATCAGAATGCGACTGTTTCACTGATTTGATTAAGTTGCATCTCAAATCCAATTTTTACAAAGTTATAAACAGACTGACCCGTGTGTTCACACATTTTTTTTTTGTGGGTCCTTTCAGAACTACATAAAGGCAGAACCCACGACCCATCTGGCAACTGAGACCAGGCTCCTGGCCATGAACACCTGTACCAACCTTATGTATCTTTTGATTAGTGATTTGTGAACGTTGATTGTTTCACATGTATTGTGTTAATTATGAAGAAGATAAGAGAGTAGATACATTTTCAGCTGATTAAAGTTGGAAACATAACAAGGGATACATTATGTAAAACAGGATGGGCTGGTTGGGTTGATTTTGAATGGTCTGGAATACTGTGATAATTAATTAAGTCTTACGCAATATTTATCTGAGCTTCTCAAACTAAATTCTAAGACAGAGAAAGAAACATAGCTACATAAAAGAACACAGATTTATCACTACATCTTTTTATTGTGTTCTCCTTAATAAGATAGATTTCCAGAAAAGAGGTATTGCATTTTTCTTTCTTGCAAATGGGGTCATAGGCCAGATAAGTTTGTTGTGATTGTGAAGTATTGATGCCTGATAAGGCAGATGGGGCTAAGGACTTATGGCAGCATGGGTACAAATACCGTCTTGTGTGAGTGATGCAACGAGGAGTGGCGAAGAGATCTGGTTGATACTGGACGCTCAGCTGAAAAGCAAGGACATATAATCAGACTGCTACTCGTACTATTGATATGGGAACTCTATGCTAGCTGCTGAAGATGAGGATGGAGTGCTTATGGAAATGCTCTGGTTGCTGAGATGTCGGTTTTGAAATCAACTTAGCTGAATTCAACTTGGTGACTTCTGCACTAGTCTGTTTTATCCACTTTTTTGTTTAAGTCACACATTCCTTGAATTGAGTCTTTCCTGCAAGTCATTCATACACCATCACCCCCAGTTTTGAAACCCAGCCTGGACAGAGACCTATTCTGTCTGTTCTCTGTTAAGTGCAAAAAATCTAGGGGGTGTGTGCATTGTGCACACCAGTCCTTCTGGTGATAAACACTCGTCACAGTGACTTTAAACTGTACCACACTCCAGCCTCTACTCAAGCAGTCACTGAAGATCCCCATGTGGATTTCGGGGCCACATTTGGGAGGAAACGGGGGTCGCGCGGGGGTGGATAATATACCCATTGCCCCCAACAGGCATGTCATAAAAGATACTAAGTTTGCTGAAATTTGGAGGTAGTACACCAAAAAGTGCAAATATGGTAGCCAAGCTGTTAAACCACAACACCTTAACATGCCGACCAAGGTACACATCCTATGTTCGCTGGTTTGATTTAAAAAAAAAGTAAAGTAAAAGAACCTCTTTCACGCCTTTAGGCGTATAGGGCATATAGGGCTAGACCTATATTTTATAGACCATTTGGCACAAGATGGGTGATGTGGTCAGCATCACACCAGCCGCCTTTACTTCCTGGGACTGCACCCGGTACCCACTCAGGCTGGGTCGACCTGGGAGCCAAGGTCATTTTTGAAAAAAGTCCTTCTCGCTGGTTTGATTAAAGACAGCATTTCTCCTGGGCAGTTTTTGTATTATGGACAGTTCTTAGATTCACTCACTCCTTGAAGAACTTGTACTATTTGTCTTCGGCAGATTTATTATTGAATGCCTTTTGATGCAGACTAAAATGCTGTGACACGAAACTCACCATAACAGAAAGAGATAGTTGTATCAGGCTGGCACTGAAAGAGTTAAGGGAGAATTGTATCAGGCCTGGGCTGAAAGATTTAAAAAAAAATTGTATCAGGCTAAGGCTGAAAGAGTTAAAAGAAATTTGAATCAGGCTGGGGCTGAAAGAGTGAAGGGAGAATTGTATCAGGCCTGGGCTGAAAGAGTTAAAAGAAAATTGTATCAGGCCTGTGCTGAAAGAGTGAAGGGAGAATTGTATCAGGCCTGGGCTGAAAGAGTGAAGGGAAAAATTGTATCAGGCTGGGGCTGAAAGAGTGAAGGGAAAAATTGTATCAGGCTGGGGCTGAAAGAGTGAAGGGAAAAATTGTATCAGGCTGGGGCTGAAAGAGTGAAGGGAACAATTGTATCAGGCTGGGGCTGAAAGAGTTAAAAGAAAATTGTATCAGGCTGGGGCTGAAAGTGTGAAGGGAGAATTGTATCAGGCCTGGGCTGAAAGAGTTAAGGGAAAAATTGTATCAGGCTAAGGCTGAAAGAGTTACAAGAAAGTTGTATCAGGTTGGGGCTGAAAGAGTTAAGGGAAAAATTGTATCAGGCTAAGGCTGAAAGAGTTACAAGAAAATTGTATCAGGGTGGGGCTGAAAGAGTTACAAGAAAATTGTATCAGGGTGGGGCTGAAAGAGTTAAGGGAAAATTGTATCAGGCTGGGGCTGAAAGAGTTAAGGGGAAAATTGTATCAGGCTGGGGCTGAAAGAGTTCAGGGAAAATTGTATCAGGCTGGGGCTGAAAGAGTGAAGGGAGAATTGTATCAGGCTGGGGCTGAAAGAGTTAAAAGAAAATTGTATCAGGCCTGTGCTGAAAGAGTGAAGGGAGAATTGTATCAGGCCTGGGCTGAAAGAGTGAAGGGAAAAATTGTATCAGGCTGGGGCTGAAAGAGTGAAGGGAAAAATTGTATCAGGCTGGGGCTGAAAGAGTGAAGGGAACAATTGTATCAGGCTGGGGCTGAAAGAGTTAAAAGAAAATTGTATCAGGCTGGGGCTGAAAGTGTGAAGAGAGAATTGTATCAGGCCTGGGCTGAAAGAGTTAAGGGAAAAATTGTATCAGGCTAAGGCTGAAAGAGTTACAAGAAAGTTGTATCAGGTTGGGGCTGAAAGAGTTAAGGGAAAAATTGTATCAGGCTAAGGCTGAAAGAGTTACAAGAAAATTGTATCAGGCTGGTTACAAGGCTGAAGGGTGGGCTGAAAGAGTTAAGGGAAAATTGTATCAGGCTGGGGCTGAAAGAGTTCAGGGAAAATTGTATCAGGCTGGGGCTGAAAGAGTTAAGGGAAAATTGTATCAGGCTAAGGCTAAAAGAGTTAAAAGAAAATTGTATCAGGCTGGGGCTGAAAGAGTTAAGGGAAAATTGTATCAGGCTAGAGCTTGAAGAGTTAGGGGAAATGCAGAAGAAGTAGAAGTAACTCCAGATATGCTAACTGATTCTTACACTTACTGTCATCATTATCAAGTGCCTTGCCAGCTGGCATAGGCATTCATGCATCCATGGATCTCAGTCTTTGGTGTTCTGGATCAATTCCACAGATGATATTTCTCCATGCCACTGTCTTAAGCCATCCACCGTAATTTCTCTTGGTCTGCCTCTGCCTCTTCTACCACTGATCTTTCCAGTCCTCACAATATTTTCCAGTGCTCCTTTTCTCTTACTATACATGTAAATTATGGTTATACTGTTGGCTTCTGTACACATTCGTGAAATGGTTATACTGTTTGTTTATGTACACATTCATGAAATGGTTATACTGTTTGCTTATGTACACTTTCATGAAATGGTTATACTGTTTGCTTATGTACACATTCATGAAATGGTTATACTGTTTGCTTCTGTACACATTCGTGAATTTCTTAACCTATGACTACAGTAAACTTCAGCCTCAGCTGACACCAGCAGAGGTCTTTGACCTTGTTCAAGTCTGCACCGATTCCTTATTCCCTTTGTCTGTGACTGGACTGCCGCCAAGGAAGGCCAAGGAAGAAAATCCGGCAGAGCTTCTAGAAGTCCAGGTCATGATGGAAGCCACATTCAATGCTTTTTATGAGGTGCTGAAGGAGATATTGAAGAAAGACCGCACCCCAGGGGGATTGGAGAGTATATTCAAGGTTTGTAGTCATTGATATAATGTTCTTTTTGTGTTTTGTTCTGTAGCTAGTGATTGATACATTATTGTTACTCTATAGCCAATGATTGGTACTTGTTCTTTTTTCTGTAGCCAGTGACTGATACATTGTTCTTGATCTGTAGCCAGTGATTGTTACATTTTTATTGTTCTGTAGCCAGTGATTGATATATAATTCTTATTCTGTAGCTAACGATTGTTTCAGTTTTCTTGCTGATCTGGTTGTTCTGTAACACATAAAAGTGGACTGTAATCTTGATCAGCTAAGCTACAGTATCCTGGCTCAAACATCAAACTGTCACTTTCTACATACATTCATCTCACTTGTAGCATCTTTATTCCATTGCTAGTATTATTTTCTCCATTATGAAGTACTTGAAAACATGTTTTCAACTTTATCAGAATTGTTTTGTTTCCATTTTCTCGATGGTTTACTACTAAATTTCATTTCTCTTTAGTAGCAGCATTTAGGTTCGAGATGACAAATATTTCAGCTATAATTTTTTTAATAATTATTTTAAACGTATTAAATTTGTTTCCTTCTGCTTCTGTTGTTAATTTTGTTGTTATGTTTATTCATGAAGGCTTTTTAGCCACAACATCCATTATGTCACTTATGACTATTTTTTTATCCAGCTGTCCCCTCCACTTGCCATTTTTGTTGATTTATTTAAGTAGTTAATATCAAATAACATGTAGCATGTTCAATGTTTTTGTATAAATATAATTAAAGAAGCCAATAAAGAATAATACACACCCACTACTGACATCAGAATGAACCAGCCATGTATCTTCTGCTGTGGTTCACCCTTGAAAGGAAGGATGGCATGTTGTGTTGTAGTTTACAGCTGGGGTATGATATCTGCACTTTTCGGCCCAGGACATCTGAATTCAACAAACCCCTAATTTGTTGCTTATATGACATGCTTGCCAAGGGGCAGGGAGTCTGATCTTGACCACATTGCCAAGTGACTAGTTACTGGTCTCTAGAAATATTAGACTAACACAATATGCCTGATAGAAATATACCATAGAGCAGTGTTTCCCAAATCTTTCTTAGTTGAGGCATCTTTTTTCAATAAAAATGTTTCCACGGCGACCTAACCTAAGTAAAAGTATGACTGTTCGTATGTAAGAGATTGAAAAAAAAAACATGTATTTTTGAATATTTTGTGGCGCCCCTGTAAAGAGGTAGCGGCACACAGTTTGGGAACCACTGCTATAAAGCAGGGCTATTCAATTGGCCCACGAATTACTGCCGGTTGTTTTGTATTAGTGATCTTCCTATGCTGGAGCTCCGGCTTCTGGCCCATGACTATCCCCATTTTCACAGTTCTGGCCCCTGAGTAAACTTAGCTGAATAGCCCTGCTATGGGGGTTGCAGTTTGTAGATTTGCTTGTTTGTCCATCCTTGTCAGCGAAGCACTTGGAGAAGATGTACTTGCCTGAAATGCGTTGTATTTTTCTGGTTTCAGCATCTTGGCCAGTGGATTCTGTCAGAGGTGGAACATGAGAGGGAGAGAGCATTGCAGACTTGGCTGGTTGTCCAGCAGTTTTACTTAGAGATTGCAGAGGTCAAGGTAAGTGTTCCTTTGTTGTTGATTGCTTAGTGACTTCATTGTTGCAAGTGCTCGCACATCAACCAATTTGTTGCCGGAAAAAACAGAGTGATCTGGTCACCTCAGCTCATGTTCTAGTATCTGTGAAACCTGTTGCATTTCATTTCTTATCTAACAGTGTGTCAGTTCCACAGACATGACGTAAAATAAAGGACCCTTTTCCACGCCTTCAGGCATATTGGGCACATAGGGCTAGACCTTTATTTTATAGACTAGTCGGCACTTGATGGGTGATGTGGTCAACATCACGCCTGCTGCTGTTCCAGGACTATACCTTGCACCCACTCAAGGTTGGGTTGACCTGAAAGACAAGGTCTCAATCCACTGTCCTGCTCATGTCGGCTCCCAAAACATCCTGATAACATGCAAGTATCAATCCCTATCAGCTTATTAAAAAACATGATATTAACATGAAGTATTTAACCCTATAGCCCCCTCCTCCCCCCTCCTCCCCCCCCCCCCCCCCCACCTGTTTAAAAAAAAAAAAAAACCTGACTCCACATTTCTCATTCTCTTTCTCTAGTTTCTTTGGGTAGAGTTTCAGAGAATGATAACATATAATGATGCATTTAGTGGTAGTGAAATTTAGAAAAAGTCATTTTTAAAAAGACTTTTATAGGAGAAAAGGGCTAACTCCTCATTCAAAAACTGAATGAATCCTTATGGGACCATATGGGACTCTTAAAGAAAAAAGTTTTTTATGTTTGGATGTAGGTTTTATATTTCTTATGTTGCTGTTATTTACTGTCAGCATTCAGCAGTTGATTATGTCTAAACTTTTACTAAAAAATGGGATGCAGACGTGTTGCACACTACGTGCTGATTTACCAGGACCAGGGCTGATATTAGTCATGACCTATCCTAACCTCTCCACAGTCATCTTAGAAACAGGTCCACAATCATCTTAGAAACAGGTCCACAATCATCTTAGAAACAGGTCCACAATCATCTTAGAAACAGGTCCACAATCATCTTAGAAACAGGTCCACAATCATCTTAGAAACAGGTCCACAATCATCTTAGAAACAGGTTCCGAACAGGGATCCTGGCTAACATAGATAGGCTTGACGTTTCTTTCAAAGCAAGAGTTCTCCTGCCTGAGAGGCGAGGAACCAACAGTTTGCACATAAATAAGCTAGATATGAAAAATTAATCTGCACCCAACATCTATGTCCTGGATCAAGATCAAAGTTCAGAAGTGGATGAACAGCCAGGAATTTCTGCTGGAATTCACAGCCAGTGAATGCAGAGAAGAAGAGACCAGTGAATGCAGAGAAGAAGAGACTAACAAATTATAATTAAAAAAAAATTTTAAGTAAAAGTCAAATTAAGATAAAGGAATTTTTAAGGTAAATTTGATATATGGTGCTGGCATATTTTCATAGACCACTTGGAAATTTAATGAGTGATATAGATCAGTGTCCTGCTGGCCATTAAGGTCTACCCAGGACTTTCCATTTTTGGTCTTCACTGCTGCTGGTAACATCAGTACTGGAACTCGTCACTAGCTGCTGAAACTGAGGATGAAGCACTTATGGGAGTGTTCGAGGACTTGGTTATTTCTAACTCAGCTTTTTTCAATTCAGCTCATTGTTAATCTGAATTCACCTGGAAGTAGACGTCAGAGAAACAAATCCTTGTCTTAAAGAAGGCTGACACACATTCTAACCCAGTAAAATAAAAGGTTAAAAAGTAAAGATCCCTTTTCACACCTTTAGGCATATCGGGCATATGGGAAGAGCACCCCCTATTTTTACAGAGCATTGGCACTAGGTGGGTAATGTGGTCAGCATTACGCCGGCCGTCTTTACTATCCCAGGAAATACATCCTGGTAACCCTTTTAGGCTGGGTCAACCTGCGACGCCCCATACCATGATAAAAATCTATGCACTAATAAAATAGGCTCTGGATAATTTTCAGAGTTCTCATGAAGTTATATGGCGAGGTCAATTAGCAAGAAAGGAAATTGGCCACTGTAACTAATTAGGACATTCCTTCTTCTTCTTCTTCTGCATTACAAGAGTACTTGACAATTTGTGTTGTGGTTTACAGCTAGGCTGTGATATGTGCATATTTCAGCCCAACACATCCACTTTCAGCAAACCTCTAATTAATCACCGTTGAGGACAGGCTTGTTAGGGGGCTGTGGGTATATTCACCCCCCCCCCCCCCCTCCCCACTTTTCCAACTGGGACCCCAAAACTCACATGAAGGCATTTTGGCATATACAAATTTTTTTATTTTCAACATGAACATTATTTAACCTTGCTAGTTGATGACATTCCTGGCACTGAACTTGCCTGTTAATACGTTGCAGGACCCACAGAATTTGGAGAATATGGGTCTTTTTTTAGCCCGGCTAATCCCCCGATGTTCAGATCCAGTCACCAGAATCAGGCAGCTGGCTGTAGATTGTGTGCACACAACTTTGAGGATTGCTCTTCGGCTGGAGGGTAGGTTCCGCTCCTTATGATGTGTGTATTTTTTTTTAAAAAATTAACATCATTTCTGATTCATTCATTGTCATATTGTGCCACTAAATTTCACATATGGCTGATATTCAATATCATGGAGGGAATCCAGTTGAGCACCTTTGGCTTCTCTCATCAGCGTTCGCATTAGGGTTTCTGTTTTACATCCTCAGTCCCTCAGTTTCCCCATTTCAATGCCTGTTTGGGGATTCTCTGTCATTTCTCAAAATGTCTGTGATATAGCACCATCTTTTCTATCACCTTACTGAGGATTTTAACCTCGGTCTTCAGCATGACAGCTTAGAATTCTAACTACTCCGCCAACCACTTTTCCTAGAGTCATTAATGATATTATAAAACTTTGTTTAAAAAATTTATTTATTCTCTTCTTGCTTCATTGTTTTGATTTTTTTGTACTCCTTTTGAAAAAAAAATGTTTTCTAAAAAAACAGACATTCACATCAGTAAAATAGATAATGGCAGTATTGAAAGAAAGAGGAACGGATGAATAAAGCACAAACTTTATTTTCAAAGGGTTATAAATTGGGCACACAGGCCTGTCTTACATTTGGCTTTTCCGAACACTCATCTTTCATATATCAATTGTATTTTTATCAATAAAGCATATCTGTTCATATAACAATATGCATGATATGAATAACAAGCAAGGATCAAGGTGAAGGTAATGAGATAAATACATAAATGGCTTGGCCGCATAGGGGTTACTGCCCCTTAACAAGCTTGTTGCAGAAGACAACTATTTAGGATTTTGTGGAAATTGGATGTGCTGGGCTAAAATGCACAGATATTGCAGCCTAGCTGTAAACCACAACACAACATATCATAAGCCTATTTCATGGCCTAATATTTACTCCCTAAAAATGTGCTTACAAAACAGCAATGCTTGAGCACATATGTAAGAGTTAATGCAGGTATACTGGACATGTGCTGATATTCTCTCCATGGTGTCATGTTTAGGCAACCCACTTGACCACAAAGATCAGATGGTAGATGCCCTGCCAACTCTGAAAGATCGACTCAAGAAGGATGATCCAAATGTCCTCTTCAGTGTGGTCAATGATCTCTCAAAGGTAAGCATGACAGTTTGCAAGTGTTGTGTTTACACAGAAGGTGATGATTTTTTCATTGTCTTGAGTCACATTGGGTGTATGGTGATAATCATCATCATCATGTGTTCTGCAGATATGCATCGGCAGCCAAACTTTGCCATCTAACATGATCACCAGAATCATATATATCAGGTCGGTGATCTGTAGTCACTCCATCCAATGGCCTGACCATCCAGATATTTATGTTTCCCTTTCCCTTGATCCTTTTCTCATCAGTCTTTCCAATTGTAAAATATCATGAAAAGATATAAAACCAAATGAAAAGTAGACTAGCGAGCTTCACAGTGTAACAGAACAAAAATGGAAAGTCAACATTGCAGCTAAAGAGCTTTCATCAGCACATTACATAAATCAACAAAACTACTTGTACAGACACAAATACAAAAATACTACTCAACTGACTTATTTCTGATGGCACCTACTTGGGTGTACAGCTTCCAAATGCTGTATATTTGAAATTGTAAACAATTTCTCCAGCAATTGTTTCCTCATAACATGTTCACAAAATATTGGCAGTCTGTCAACTTTCCTAAAATGTATGTCTTTCTTGTGAATAATCATGGTTTCACAAGACCTATATATTTTAGGAAAGTTGAAGTTGATGATTCCATTGCTCCTAAGTTGTCTGCTTTTGGTAACCCACAACCATTCCAAGAATCCATTTTACAGACAAAATCTTCTTCTTCTTTAGCATTCAGAGCCCTCGAGGTTCATTGCTGTGGATATCACCTGCCTCCATTCATCTCTTGACTGGTATTTTTTCCACTTGGTGACTCTAAGTGTTTATAAATCTACATATATATCTACATATATTATCTCTCCACTGTCTATAGAATATACGTGAGAAGAAAATCTACATATAAAAAAATTCTCTTATTTAAAAAAATTATATTCTAGGTCATAGCGAAGAAGTTGCCAGCAGACCACCTGGTGCCCTTTATAGAAAACCCTACAACAGGGACTTCTGGATCCTCAGTCTCACAGTTCATCGGGTGCGTGCGTGGTGCTCAACGGCATTATGAAACTGAGAGGTGGAGATATTAGAGCTAAGGTAAGTTGGGGTTTGCTTTGTAGATTTGTTTGTGTAATATTACAGTCACTATGTGTTCTTGTTTGTTTACCAGTTGCTAATTGTTTGTTGTTCTTTTCAATCCCTATGTTCTTCTTTTTCTTCATGTTCACCGGCTGTAAACTCCTGCGGAAAGTTCTGGTTGTTCATCCACTTCTGGACTGCAGTGGAGTTTCAGAACCTGAGTGTTGCGTGTGCATCCATTTGAAAGATCTCATTTGCGTGCAGACTGTTGGTTCCTTGCCTCTCAGGCAGATGCACTCCGACTTCAAAGAAAGCTCCCAATTAGTCGACTCTTATGACATGCTTTTGGGTAGGCAGTGGGTATATTCTTGTTTTCCCTAAAACAGGGCCCCTGAACCCACACAGGGACAATCCCTTTGTGGTTTCTGCTGCCTTTGGTGGGGGTGGGGGGGGGGGTGGACCCACTGAAAGTCAGCCAAACATCTAACAGAGAAATGAGTCAGCTTAGTTATTTGTTTAGTACCTTATGACTTGTATTATGTTTTGTCAGCTTAGTTGCTTCGTACTTACTACTTATATACCTCAACAACTTGCACTATGTTTTTTAGTTTAGTAACTTAGTGGTTATATATCCCAACAACTTGTATTATGTTTTGTTAGTTTAGTTACGCAATCTTTCTTTGTCAGTTGAGATGAGAAAGAGAAATCTTAAAAGCTATATAAAAACTATCTTGATATATGGAAGTGAATCACGGACAGTTGATAGACTAGTGAAAAATTTTTTTTAAAGCTGCAGAGATGTAGTTTTTATAGATGAATGATGAGAATACCCTGGAAAGATAAAAAGAGCAATGAAGATGTCTTGAAATAAAATGACTCATAAAGAGAAGTGATTGCCCACATCAGAAAGAGACAATCCACATTCTTTGGCCATGTGATGAGAAGGAGAAAACTGGAGTACATCGAGAGAGTAGGAGAGGGAAAGAGGCAGAGGAAGACCGAACAAAAAGATGCTAGACAATTTGACATCATGGCATAGAGGGTCGTCTGTCTCAGAGTTGATTGAAAATTCATGAGACATAAGGTTGTGGACATAACTACTAACGCCACACAGCATGGATTTTCAGAAGGAGAAGATGTTTAGTTACTTAGTACTTTCATGCCTTAACCTCTTGTGCTAGTAGTTCAGTTAAAAACATAGTTCATTTAATAACATAGTTCAATTAATAACATAGTTCAGTTAATAACATAGTTCATTTAATAACATAGTTCAATTAATAACATAGTTCAATTAATAACATAGTTCAGTTAATAACATAGTTCATTTAATAACATAGTTCAATTAATAACATAGTTCAATTAATAACATAGTTCAATTAATAACATAGTTCAATTAATAACATAGTTCAATTAATAACATAGTTCAGTAAATAACATAGTTCAGTTAATAACATAGTTCAATTAATAACATAGTTCAGTAAATAACATAGTTCAATTAATAACATAGTTCAGTAAATAACATAGTTCAGTAAATAACATAGTTCAGTTAATAACATAGTTCATTTAATAACATAGTTCAATTAATAACATAGTTCAATTAATAACATAGTTCAAATAATAACTTAGTTCAATTAATAACATAGTTCATTTAATAACATAGTTCATTTAATAACATAGTTCATTTAATAACATAGTTAAGTTAATAACATAGTTCAGTTAATAACATAGTTCAGTTAATAACATAGTTCAGTAAATAACATAGTTCAGTAAATAACATAGTTCAGTAAATAACATAGTTCAGTTAATAACATAGTTCAGTTAATAACATAGTTCAGTTAATAACATAGTTCAGTAAATAACATAGTTCAGTAAATAACATAGTTCAGTAAATAACATAGTTCAGTTAATAACATAGTTCAGTTAATAACATAGTTCAGTTAATAACCGTCTGCTGTTGTTACTTTTCAGGTTGAAGTTTTCCTGGCCTCCCTGTATGAAAAACTGAGTCAAATTCACTGCCCACAGACAAAAGTTGGAACTCTGCGTACGATACGTACCATGGCTGGGCACCACCTCATACCAACACTGACTTCTTTGTTGACCTATTCCTTACCATATGATGAGTAAGAATGTATAATCTCACACATCGAGTTTGAATCACAAATAATAACATAAAGTAAAGTACTCTTTTCACGCTTTTTGGTGCATCAAGTTTATAGTGCTAGATCCACAAAGGTGCTTCAAATGAAAACCTTAAAAGTATGAAAGAAATTACGGTAAACACAACATACACACAGAACATATACACACGGACACAACACACACAAACTCAACACACACAAAAACACAGTCACAACATGTACACACAGACATGACATACATACAGACAACCCACACTGTATGGCAGACCTGGCCTTTATAATAATGAGAACCGGCCTTGTTAGTCATACTCGCCATCACTATAGGCTTCAAATCTCAGGTCTTCGTATAGCACAGTATAAAACTGTCATATTAAAAGACGGAAAGATGCCAGAACAAACAAACACAAAACTGGTAAAGTAATTTTATTATTCATGCATTCAGATCAACATTTTAAAATATTTTTTTGTATTTCCAGGAATGTGGTGGAAATTTGGAGAATCCTGGCACAAGATCCTAATCTGTCAGCCTTGATACTGGAACATTTTCTGGAACTTTTGATGAAGTCATTGCCCTATGAGGAGAAGCCAGAGAAGGAGAAGCCACTAAAAACTGCTACAATTGTACCTCTAGCTGTAAGAGAGTTCATGTCAGACTGGTAGCTGTTAACTGTTAACTGCAAAGATTGTGTCTGGTGTGAATTTGTTTAAAAATCCACTCTTCATTTGAAAACATAAACGGTTTGCCTAATTCTGTGTCATGCACATATGTTGATGACGATGATTGTTATCTCACCTTATTCTTCTCGTACCTATACTATACCTATCTGAAATTTAGGATGGACTTATACAAAACAAGCCTAGCATATTCCACAGCTCAACTTTGGAAACATCTTCCACAGCAAATCAAACATACTACTACCCTCTATCAGCCCAGCTGAAAATAATTTAAATAACGTTACACACTACATGCCCCCTTAACTCCTTCAGTCCCAGATCTGTGTTTCTTCAGCTCCTAACTTCCAAAGCAGTGGCTACTTAAAGACATTGTGTATATATCTGAAAAGGTTAAAATAATAACATTAGAGCGCTAAAAGAACTGAAGTTAACAGTTGGGATAGAATAAGTTGAAGCTACAGCTGGAAAGGGTACAAGAAAGGCATAGCATGCTGGGTAATTCCAATAAACGCAGGATAGATTGCTTTGTACTGAAAGAAGTAAAGGATAATAATGTTGCTGTATGCTTCCCCTGAATTGATTGTCGTTACTATACTAAGATCTATTATTTTGAAGAAACAAGTTTGTAAACTTCAAGTATATTCCAGCTTTTGTAATTATTATGTGGTTGTCAGTTGTATTTAGTATTACCTGTTAAAAGATATATGAATGAAATAATGTATGACTTTGGTGAGGTCAGAATGTTAGACGGCCTGCATGTCAAGTTCTTTACCCTTTGATAATAAAGTCTGTTTGTTCTTCTGCTGTTTGCTGTTGTACTGCTGGAACCAAAGTCTGCAACCGGCACTGGACATCAGAACTCTCCACCACTCTCTGTCATCTTACATTTTAATGAAGTCTGTGATGTTTATTATTTACCCAACTGTTTAAGCTATTCTTATACATCTTTCTTTGTAAACACTGTGAGCTGTTCTTATACATCTTTCTTTGTAAACACCATGAGCTGTTCTTATACATCTTTCTTTGTAAACACCATGAGCTGTTCTTATACATCTTTCTTTGTAAACACCGTGAGCTGTTCTTATACATCTTTCTTTGTAAACACCGTGAGCTGTTCTTATACATCTTTCTTTGTAAACACCGTGAGCTGTTCTTATACATCTTTCTTTGTAAACACAGTGAGCTGTTCTTATACATCTTTCTTTGTAAACACCGTGAGCTGTTCTTATACATCTTTCTTTGTAAACACAGTGAGCTGTTCTTATACATCTTTCTTTGTAAACACCGTGAGCTGTTCTTATACATCTTTCTTTGTAAACACCATGAGCTGTTCTTATACATCTTTCTTTGTAAACACCATGAGCTGTTCTTATACATCTTTCTTTGTAAACACCATGAGCTGTTCTTATACATTTTTCTTTGTAAACACCATGAGCTGTTCTTATACATCTTTCTTTGTAAACACCATGAGCTGTTCTTATACATCTTTCTTTGTAAACACCATGAGCTGTTCTTATACATCTTTCTTTGTAAACACCGTGAGCTGTTCTTATACATCTTTCTTTGTAAACACCATGAGCTGTTCTTATACATCTTTCTTTGTAAACACCATGAGCTGTTCTTATACATCTTTCTTTGTAAACACCATGAGCTGTTCTTATACATCTTTCTTTGTAAACACCATGAGCTGTTCTTATACATCTTTCTTTGTAAACACCATGAGCTGTTCTTATACATCTTTCTTTGTAAACACCGTGAGCTGTTCTTATACATCTTTCTTTGTAAACACCGTGAGCTGTTCTTATACATCTTTCTTTGTAAACACCGTGAGCTGTTCTTATACATCTTTCTTTGTAAACACCGTGAGCTGTTCTTATACATCTTTCTTTGTAAACACCGTGAGCTGTTCTTATACATCTTTCTTTGTAAACACCGTGAGCTGTTCTTATACATCTTTCTTTGTAAACACCGTGAGCTGTTCTTATACATCTTTCTTTGTAAACACCGTGAGCTGTTCTTATACATCTTTCTTTGTAAACACCATGAGCTGTTCTTATACATCTTTCTTTGTAAACACCGTGAGCTGTTCTTATACATCTTTCTTTGTAAACACCGTGAGCTGTTCTTATACATCTTTCTTTGTAAACACCGTGAGCTGTTCTTATACATCTTTCTTTGTAAACACCGTGAGCTGTTCTTATACATCTTTCTTTGTAAACACCATGCATATTGTAAGAGATGACTTAGGAGTATTGGCATGTAACCGACTTTTGGCACTGTTCCAGATGATAGTGTTATATTGTGCTATAAGGAGGCATGGCATGCACAGCCTATGGCTTTGGAAGGCCGCAGAAAAAGTTCCTCCTTTCCATAGCACAAAGCCAGGGCAGTATTGTAGAGACCATATGTTGCTAATGCATCATGATCCCTCACTGAAAGAAGATCTGAAATTGGTTTTTACCTTTACTTCTGTAGTTGGTTATTGGTTGAAAGGGGTCACAGCAGTAGGGACACAAACATAAGTGCTCCACCTCCCTCAACAAATAGCAAAGGTTGTATATAGATGTTGTAAACCACTTGGAAATATGTCTTCAAAATCTCTACAAGAATAGTTCAGATTACCCTAAACATGTGCACTTTATATTTTCTATGTCTGTGTGGTTTTATCGGAGCTGTATGTTTCTTTGAAGTATTCATCTGTCATTATCATGAAAATCAACCAGAACTACAAGTCGAAATAGCCAGCTTTCTAAAAAAAAAAAACACAATCACAAATGATAAAATGAACGTTATGACTAGAGGCTTCATCAGCGTACATCTCTGACAATGATACAACTATTTGGAAGAGAGAGGGGGCTAGAGGAGGGGAGTAGACTCACTGCACATTGACAAGCATGTAATTACAAATCATTTACTGAATTAAGAGTTTGCTGACATCAGATGTCTTGAGCTCATAGTCCATAGATATTGAAGCCTGACTGTAAACCTTAACACCGTGTGCCAGCTGCCAATTTAAGAATGCCCACAGAAGAAGAAATCAAGAATGGAGTCTACGCCTGGTTAAAATATTCATCCGTGCTTAAAAACAAATGCCTGCAGAACAAGCAGCTCTCATCACAGACAGTAAACAGAAAATGACCCAGAGAGGGAGGGTAGGTAAGAGGTGAAGAGGTTACTGTTATGGAAAATAACATGAAAGAACATAATCGATTAAACTGTGTTGAACATCATTCTGTCATTATAAAACATTTGAATTTAATTTACATGTTTCCAGGTAACATATGCTCTGACAGAGTTTTTCCAAGTTGAGGAAACACAAGAAAATGTATTGAAGCTTTTCCCTCGTCTGTTTGCTGCTCTACTTGTGAGAGTGGGTTCCTCTGTTGGTGTCAAGCCACCAAAATCCCAGGTATGTCATAATTCATTGTGTCAGAATATAATTTATTAATGATAATAATAAAGTGCCAAAAAAAAAAAGAGAGAGAGAGAATGAATTTCCTCAAATTTAAAAAAAAAATTAAAAAAATAAGCAATGGTCAATAAAAATATCACAGCAGTTTTTTAAATAGACGAACAAATGTTTAACCAAGTCGCTAAATTCAAATATTTGAGTACAGTCACCAGAAAAACGACTGAACTATATCCACATACTGTGTATGAGACACATTGTTGGTACATCATGGCAATACTTTGTCTACAACGAACATGTACTCAGAAGAGCTGGAATACCAATAGTGAACTTTCTACTGAACCCCTGTGCTGGTTGGGACATATCTGCTGCATGCAGGACAGTCGCATTCCACTGGATCTTCTGTATGGTCAGCTGAAAACAAAAGAAAGATCTGCAGGAAGGCAAAAAATATGCTATAAGGACATATATAGATTCATACACGTACATAACTACTGATCCATCAAGCAAGCTTGCTAGGGACTATGGTAAAACTGTCTTTAACTTACGGAAGCACGTTCTATGTTGATGTAGTTTAGCAGTGTTGATTTGTTTAATTCTCTCATTATAATTTGCATTTAGAAACCCCAGCCGGAAGAACTGAAGGTTGACAAGAAGAAGAAAGGCAGTACTTCAAAAGAAACTCAGAAGATAATTCCCATTGAGTAAGTGTAAAAGATCTGATTGAGCTAGTATAAACAAATCTTAGGTAAGTTAGATAGGTATACGATTTAACCAAAAATGCTTTATCTATCTTTTATAGGACATTGTAGAATCAACCCCAGCATCTGTTGGCTGTTTTATGAGGCAGTTGTAGGTTCAGTAGTTTACTGTTGCAACCGTCAGCTGTCATTACCCCTGTTGAAATCAATGCAAGACAGTCTGCTGCCAAATCATCTGCAGCTGGAATCAAACCGGTTACCTCAGAGTTTTGCAATGTTTGCAATGCCTAAGCCACATATGCCTGCATATTTAAAATTGGCAGATTACCAGATTTACGATTATACTGGGCTAAAAGCATGTATATAAGATCTTGTATCTTGTTACAGCATAAAAATTGATGGGAAAAAGGGTGCAAGGAAGAGTAAGGGAGACCATGTTACCATTGAGAAATGTATAAATTGTACAGTATATTGTTGGTGCCCTCATTATATCAATTCACAATTTTGATTGACTGGAGGCCCAGCCACTGTTTTGAGCTGTAGCAATTTTTTTGCTTCTACCAGACGGTGGCTGTTGCATTTTTGCTCCATTTGTAGACTGAAAGGATATAGTTTTGTCACCCAGCTTCTGAGTTGAGTGCATGGCATGACACTGTGAGCTGCGGATTTCATTTGGAATGTTTTTCGACTGTGACCAACGTGGTGGTGTTAATTGTAGATTCATAAAATGGTGGGATCCCTGTTGCCGCAATATTGGTGGTGCCATTATGTGATTAAAATTGATCACGTGTGCAACTGCTGATCTGTTGGTGACTTCTGCTACCATCCATGATGAACTGCATTTCTAATGTCGGACTATTTGTGTTAGCACTTCGGATAGCTACCGTATGCTCTTAATGCGTGTGTATGCTAGATATGCTGAGACAGCAGTCTGTCAATCTTTCCACAAGGGAATCTGATAAACATTCTGTGTGTTTTTTGTTGGCACAGGAGGAGCAACTATGGGGTGACACGTTGGCTATGAAGCTGAAACTAAGATTACCAGATTAAAGATTACACTGGACTAATAAGCATGTATCTTGTTACAGCAGGAAAATTGATGGGAAAGAGGGTGCAAGGAAGTCCAAGACAGACCATGTTACCAGTGAGAAATATATAAATTGTACACTTTTTTGCTTGTGCACTATTATATAGATTCACAATTTTGATTGACTGTATAATTCAGAGTAATTTTAGACCACTATTTCATATTTCAGGGTGGCAATCAAAGCTTTACGGACATTTCTAGAGCATACCCAGATGACTGACATGCTTGAACATTTAGAGAAAGAGGGAGCTTGGGAAAAGATGAAGGATGAGACAGATTATCCAGAGGCAATCACTCAGTTAGCCAGGTAACAAAAAAATAAAAATGGCTATTGCAGTCTGTCCCAAGTGAACTGGGTCTTGCCTAAGTGCAAAAAACTCTCAGCTTTCAGTGTGTGTGTGTGCATACGTGTGGGCGCGCAACTTTTTTCAACAGTGACCTTGGCTCCAAGGCCGATCCAGCCTAAAATTGGTCTGTCTAAAGTCCTGTGAAGTAAAGATGGTGGGCATGATGTTGGTCACATCAGCCACCAAGTGTTGATTGGTTTATAAAATTATAGGCCTAGCTGTGTATGCCTGATGCATCACTGGCCTAAAAGGGTCCTTTACTTCTTACTTTTATATAAATAAATGTCCATTCCATTATATAATTAAATGTCCATGCTTTTATATAAATAAATGTCTGCGCTTTTATATAAGTAAATGTCTGTGCTTTTATATAAATAAATGTCTGTGCTTTTATATAAATCAATGTCCATGCTTTTATATAAATAAATGTCTATGCCATTATATAAATAAATGTCCATGCCGTTATATAAATAAATGTCCATGCCATTATATAAAAAAATGTCCATGCCGTTATATAATCAAATGTCCATGCCGTTATATAAATAAATGTCTGTGCTTTTATATAAATAAATGTCTGTGCTTTTATATAAATCAATGTCCATGCTTTTATATAAATAAATGTCTATGCCATTATATAAATAAATGTCCATGCCGTTATATAAATAAATGTCCATGCCATTATATAAAAAAATGTCCATGCCGTTATATAATCAAATGTCCATGCCGTTATATAAATAAATGTTCATGCCGTTATATAAATAAATGTCCATGCCATTATATAATCAAATGTCCATGCCGTTATATAAATAAATGTTCATGCCATTATATAATCAAATGTCCATGCCGTTATATAAATAAATGTTCATGCCATTATATAAATAAATGTCCATGCCGTTATATAATCAAATGTCCATGCTGTTATATAAATAAATGTCCATGCCGTTATATAATCAAATGTCCATGCAGTTATATAAATAAATGTCCATGCAGTTATATAAATACATGTTCATGCCGTTATATAAATAAATGTCCATGCCATTATATAATCAAATGTCCATCCCGTTATATAAATAAATGCCCATGCCATTATATAAATAAATGTCCATGCCGTTATATAATCAAATGTCCATGCCATTATATAAATAAATGCCGATGCTGTTATATAAATAAATGCCCATGCCATTATATAAATAAATGTCCATGCCATTATATAAATAAATGTCCATGCGTTATATAAATAAATGTCCATGCCGTTATATAAATAAATGTTCATGCCGTAATATAAATAAATGTTCATGCCGTAATATAAATAAATGTCCATGCCATAATATAATCAAATGTCCATGCCGTTATATAAATAAATGTCCATGCCGTTATATAAATAAATGTCCATGCCGTTATATAAATAAATGTCCATGCCGTTATATAAATAAATGTCCATGCCGTTATATAAATAAATGTCCATGCCGTTATATAAATAAATGTCCATGCCGTTATATAAATAAATGTCCATGCCGTTATATAAATAAATGTCCATGCCGTTATATAATCAAATGTCCGTGCCGTTATATAAACAAATGTCCGTGCCGTTATATAAATAAATGTCCGTGCCGTTATATAAATAAATGTCCGTGCCGTTATATAATTAAATGTCCATGCCGTTATATAAATAAATGTCCATGCCGTTATATAAATAAATGTCCATGCCGTTATATAATCAAATGCCCATGCCGTTATATAAATAAATGTCCATGCCGTTATGTAAATAAATGTCCATGCCGTTATATAAATAAATGTCCATGCCGTTATATAAATAAATGTTCATGCCGTTATATAAATAAATGTCCATGCCGTTATATAAATAAATGTCCATGCCGTTATATAAATAAATGTTCATGCCGTTATATAAATAAATGTCCATGCCGTTATATAATCAAATGTCCATGCCATTATATAAATAAATGTCCATGCCGTTATATAAATAAATGTCCATGCTGTTATATAATCAAATGTCCGTGCCGTCTCCACAGTGACGGTTGGCTACAGTATACCACTGTTGCCTAGGGTGTTATCTTCACTTATTGATCAGATATATATTTAACAGTAAATATTTGATTCTGTTTCTACTTACCTCAGGAGCCTGGTCATTGAAGAAAAGGAGATTAATGTTAGTGATATTGTCAACTCGTTGACGTCTGCTCTGTCTAGTCTGTACGAGTCACAGAGAGTTACGGTTGCTGCTTTCTTTGCTGAGGTTTGTTGGGGTGTTTTTATTTTGTTTATCTTACTGCTACTGGTTTGTTTACTTTTGACAACAGAGTGCTATACTTATGAAGGTACTTGCTTTCTGTAGCTGTTCCTTGGGCTTATAAATGGAGTGTATAGCTGTAGGGGATTTCACCCTGGTGTTTGTTGATATGAGTGAGTTATTTTTATATTTTAAACAAATGTAAATTAGAATAATTTTCAAAAAGAAAGAAATACCACAATGTAGCTTCCATGTAAATGGAAAAGTTCTTCAATATTTGAATCAGTACAACTATTCTGAAACAGTCATATCATCTGACGCAAGGTGCCTTGCAGAGATTAAAACAAGAATCATCAAGGCTTAAGTGGCCTTAACCATTTCAGCCAAGAAGCTTTGGCGGGGAGGGAATGAGGACAGAACCCAGGAATTCCCAGAGGAAAATCCTTTTTTGTTTTAAATAAAAAAAAATCACACAGGTCACTAATTTAAATTAAAAAACAATATATATATATATATATATATATATATATATATATATATATATATATATATATATATATATATATATATATATATATATACATACACATATATATATATATATATATATAAGAGATTGTTAACTAAATAAAGGGCAAGGGGTAATCAGTGAAAATGAATAGAGCAGAGAATTAACTTGTTTTGGGGCTGAAATTGTAAACTATGACTGATACTATGGCACCTGTCACTATGCGATGACTACAGGCAAATTGTGATCTCATAATGTCTATATAAAAAAAAACCTATTTTTAGTAAATATCACATCTAGCCCTTCTAATTGCTGTGAACACTCCACAGGCACAAACAGCACCAAAGCTGTTAAAGCGGCCAAAGCCATAGTGCCTAATATCAGCTACTTAGGGATTTGTAACGGATGACAATGCCAAGATACTGGTATCCTGAGACTGAAGGGTCAACTCTTTGAGTCCCAGGGGGTTTAGCATCACAGGCCCAGGGGGTAGTAAATAATGTCATAAAATCGGCACATCATGCGTTCATTGGGCTTCTAGGTAGGAAGCCATGAACGTATGATGCGTTCCTTGGGACTCAGAGAGTTAAGCAAGATGTCCGAGATATTCGCCAATTAAAAAAATGTTAACTGCAGTGAGAAAAGGGGGTTTAATGTGCTGTATAGAACCTGTCCTGTTATATTATGTGAAACATGGGCAGTGTGCAGACAAACTGACAAACAAATTTAATTGCAGAGAAAATATGGTATAAGTTAAAACATGCACAGAATGTCATGGTCTGCAGAAAAACAAAACTGGGAAACCAAGTGAATTTTAAAGACTGTAAACACAGGATTACCAGCCCTTCAAGCAAATGTACTAGCTAACAGAAGTATATGTTACTGCAACAACAATTGCTTTAATTTTAATGTGTGTGTTGAATCAAACGGTTTACTTTTTAAAAAGACAATAGATAAAATATTAGTAATTGCATAGTTATTAATTTGTGTTGGGCCAATACAATGTTTGTTTTTTTTTTACATGTCCATTCAGTTAATCAATCAACAATGTAAGGGAGACAAGTCTCTGGTTCAGCTGGTAATGAACAGCCTGCTGGGAAGACTGGTGGATGAGTCCCACATTGTTCGCATGCTATGTATCAGAGGCCTAGGCAACATCTCCAGTGTTGGCAAGGAACAGGTCAGTTTTCTGCCTCATAAAACTATAGATAGTTAATTATCTTCAGTTGGAGCCTAGGGTCAAACAGGTCAGTTTTCTGCCTCATAAAATTAGAGATAATTAATTATCTTCAGTTGAAGCATAGAGTCGAACAGGTCAGTTTTCTGCCTCATAAAATTAGAGTTAATTATCTTCACTTGGAGCCTAGGGTCGAACAGGTCAGTTTTCTGCCTCATAAAATTATAGTTAATTATCTTCAGTTGGAGCCTAGGGTTGAACAGGTCAGTTTTCTGCCTCATAAAATTAGAGAGTTAATTATCTTCAGTTGGAGCCTAGGGTCGAACAAGTCAGTTTTCTGCCTCATAAAATTAGAGTTAATTATCTTCAGTTGGAGCCTAGGGTCGAACAGGTAAGTTTTCTGCCTCATAAAATTAGAGTTAATTATCTTCAGTTGGAGCCTAGGGTCGAACAGGTCAGTTTTCTGCCTCATAAAATTAGAGTTAATTATCTTCATTTGGAGCCTAGGGTCGAACAGGTCAGTTTTCTGCCTCATAAAATTATAGTTAATTATCTTCAGTTGGAGCAAAGGGTCTCAGCGAGCTTACTAAACCTTCCTATCTTTTGCCATCTCCTGTAGCTCCCTTTATGTACTGACATACTATTAATCTCTGTTTTTAATTCTGTTCCCCATAAGTTTTAGGTCTTGCTCTATTTCTTTTGTCTTATTCCAGAGAAAGTACTTTTAAGTTATACTATTTATAGGTTGTCTCATCGTGTAAATTTTGTTCATTGTTGACGCCTTCCAGATGATAGAGCCCGTGGCAATTTTTAAAAATTACGAAAAATAGGAAAAAATCTTTACAGGTATCGCAAAAACTCTGCTCTCCTTGTTGCTGTGTTCTTGTTAAAAAGCTAGCTCTTCATATTACTGATTGATTATCCCCTGATTTAGTCTAGGGTTGTCACAAGCTGGCTAGCACTGATCGATTCTCCTCTGATTTAGTCTAGGGTTGTCACACGCTGGCTAGCACTGATTGATTCTCCCCTGATTTAGTCTATGGTTGTCCAAGCTGGCTAGCACTGATTGATTATCCCCTGATTTAATCTGGGGTTGTCAAACGTTGGCTAGCACTGATTGATTCTCCCCTGATTTAGTCTAGGGTTGTCACAAGCTGGCTAGCACTGATTGATTCTCCCCTGATTTAGTCTAGGGTTGTCACAAGCTGGCTAGCATTGATTGATTCTCCCCTGATTTAGTCTAGGGTTGTCACAAGCTGGCTAGCACTGATCGATTCTTCCCTGATTTAGTCTAGGGTTGTCCAAGCTGGCTAGCACTGATTGATTATCCCCTGATTTAATCTGGGGTTGTCAAACGTTGGCTAGCACTGATTGATTATCCCCTGATTTAGTCTAGGGTTGTCCAAGCTGGCTAGCACTGATTGATTCTCCCCTGATTTAGTCTAGTGTTGTCACAAGCTGGCTAGCACTGATTGATTCTCCCCTGATTTAGTCTAGGGTTGTCACAAGATGGCTAGCACTGATTGATTCTCCCCTGATTTAGTCTAGGGTTGTCACAAGCTGGCTAGCACTGATTGATTCTCCCCTGATTTAGTCTAGGGTTGTCACAAGCTGGCTAGCATCATGCTTCTCCATTTAACCCAACCCTGTTACACATGTGTACAGCTACCAACTTAGGAACGAACACAACTGTTAACAATCTGCAATGTAGCATGATGCTCGTGTTCCACTGTAAATGCGGCCAGTTTATTCACCTCGATTCTGACACTCAATTCAAGCATAGTTTATCTACACGCATACGTTCTCCCAACCAACGCTGCTAACTACTACAATTATTCAAAGAAAGTTAACTAGTATACTTTGGTTAAGCTACATTTACTCTATTACAACCATCTTCTTCGACCTCTGGTGCGAAACTGACCAAGATCTAACATCTGGTCTTTCGTCGTTTGTCTCTTCGGCCTTGAGTATCCTGTGCCACCGTATCTTGCATGAGCTTTCTGCCTGATCTGTTGTGGCGTAGACTGCCATGCTAAGCACAGTCATGAGCTATGAAAAGACCTTTGCCGTGCTTTGACAGATAATCTCTATGATATTAATGAAGCACTATTGTGAACACCATAAAATCATTAACTTAATACAGTGAACATATAAAGACATGAAGTGCAAAGCACCTCATTAGGGAAATTTAAGATACATTGAAGTTGAGGAAAAAAACGTGTGATAAGAATGCCTTTTATCTCCTTTAGTATTCTCACAGACTGTAGACTTGATTTAATGAGTTCATTAAATATACACTTAAAATAACTTTTGTGAATTCTTCTTCTTTGAGTTCTCTGACTTTACAGTGAGTGCATATCTTGCAGCCTAGTTTAAATTACAATACATCATGCCAGCCGCCATTTTGAGGGCAAAAACAGAAGAATCCATTCTGATTATGACACAAAACAGAAAAATATTTGCTATCTGGCCAATCATTTCCAGCATATTTGGTTTCAGGTTCAAACATATGCCACTACCATTCTTTCTGCCATGATGGCTGGCATGGATGACAAAGAGGACCCAGAAGATAACATCACAATTGAAGCCATGAGCGGCCTGTCTCGCATCCTGAGTGAAATACAAGAGGAGCATATCAGAGCCATCCTCATCAACGTCTCGCTGAAGATACGGCCTTGCTTTGAAAAGGTTTGCCCCTAGATTATTTTATATCTAATGTTTACAAGCATTACTGTTAATGTAAAAGACCCTTCTTACGCCAGTGACCTATTGGGCATATGATGTTAGAAATAATAATTGTATAGACCTGTCAGAACTTGGTACCTGGTACCCATTTTAATCTGGGTCTACCTGGGAGCCTAGGTCATTTTTTTTTTGAATGTCTGATTCAATACGGATTGAAACCCAAGACCTTGGGACCGGAGGTGAACATCTAGCTACTTCACCACTGCGGCTCCTGACATCGAAGCTAACAACAATTAATCAACACTACAGTGCAAAGAGCTGATTAAAATAACCCTTAATGAGCAACTTTCAGCAGCTTTCCATCTTTCTTAGAGTCTTCCATTTTGCTTTAGATAGGCTTGACCTTGAAATCAGAGCCCATTGTGACGGTGAGTGGGACTAGCAAGACCAGTTCATTGTAAGAAGAATCTTCCGCAATAAATGCATGAGATTTGGGGACAATTGTTTTCATAGCCCATTGTGACGGCAAGTGGGACTAGCAGGACCATCTCATAGTAACAAGAATATTCCACAATAAATGCATGAGATTTTAGGACAATTGTTTTCATAGCTCATGGTCACGGCAAGTGAGACTAGCAAGACCAGCTCATAGTAAGAAAAACCTTCCACAATAAGTGCATGAGATTTCAGGACCATTGTTTTCATAGCCCATGGTGACGGCGAGTGGGACTAGCAAGACCAGCTCACATTGAGAAGAATCTTCCACAATAAGTGCATGAGATTTCAGGACCGTTGTTGCCATCACAATATTTGACATATTTCTTCACAGATGCTCAGTTCATAACCTGCCTGCAATCCCCTTCTCCTTTGTTCCTATTTGTTCTCTTCCATGCAATACTATCCATGGCATTTTGTTCCGATGAACCCACCCACCTGCATCATTTTTGTCCCACTTGCACACATCTTCAAATCACTTTAGCGGCAGACTTCTACATCTACTCATCATAAAATACTGTAAGAAAGAGATATTGTTACTGCTGTAAGAAAGAGATAACGTTCTCTGATCATTTAATGAGAAGAAAAATTATTAAACAACAATATGATGACTTGTAGAAGATGTGATTGAAAATGTTAAATGCGTATTTGTATTAAAGATATTAATGTACAAATTGAGAGATTGTATTCACTATTTCAATCCCAGGTTTCTTCACGGATTGTCCGAGGGGGGATATAATCCTAAGTATTTTTTCACTATCCTTACAGAAATGGGTACCAATAAATTGTTGGTCTTCAGCTCATAGACAACTTATCACAAACATCAGAAAGAGACAGTGGTCATTTTGTGGTCTTATTATGAGAAGAAGGAAACTGGAACATGCTGTGACCACTGGAAAGATCTGTGGGGAAAAAAAAAGGTCAGAGGAAGACGATGCAAGATGATTCTTGACAGCCTTTTGTCTTGGCATGGAGTGGTGTCATCACACGAACTGATGCAAGTTGTTGAAGACCCCAGATTTTGGAGAGGGATGATTGCCCACATCAGCAAGGCACTTGATGATGATTATCAACATTTTTCTAGAAATACAAACAGGAAATGTGATGAGGAATATTTCTGTAAAGAAAATCTAGGGTTGACCAGCAAAAAGGTGAACACAGGGTATTAAAAAACACCCCGGACTTGAAAATGCACTAGACAAGTAAACTGGCAAAAAGATCAAGAATCTTTCAAGCAGATCATATTGATAACATTGCTTTGTAAAAGACCTGCTGTATGTTGATAAAGTCAAATTTAAGGATCTAAATTTGGTTGTTTGTACGTGAAAGATAGATAAATCTAATTACTGCAACGAAGTGCGCTATTACTCAAGACAATAGTGAAATGTGTGCTATTTACTGCTGTGTGCAGGACAAGTGTGCAGTAAGGGCTCAAGCTTTCAGACTGTTCGGTAACCTCTCCAGGTTCGGAGATGGTCCTTCCAAGGCACCATTTTTGGAGCAGATCCACAGTAATTTCATCAGTCTCTTACTGCACTTAAATGATAAGGAAGAGGAGGTCAGGCAGGTATGGTAGTTTCTTTGTTATTTTGTTACCATTGAATACTCCCATTGATGTTAGATCCTCATTCAGCTAAATTGTTCTTTTCTATAAAATCTTTTCAAGGCCTCTCAGGTATACTTGTGTAACTTTACTCCTGGTAGACTGCAATGATACTATTCCTTGCTTCCCTTCCACACTGTAAGACACCACACAGGCAGGTGTGGTAGTTGTTGCTAAACAGGTTCTACTGATATTGTAATGTGTCATAGAGACAGACATAACATGAGTGGGAAAGATAGGGCAAGAGGAAGAGACAGGCAGAACAAATAGTGGGGCAGATTGAGATACTGAAAGACAAAGGTCATGACACAGAGTGAGAGGCAGAGATAGACAGACAGAACAGGGGCACAGAGCAGAGAAAATGGCAGAACAAAACCAGAGAGAGAGAGAGAGAAGTATAAGGCATGGATAGTCACACACACACGCACACAGAGAGAGAGAGAGAAGCAGAAGCCACATTTTGAGAGGTAGTTAGGTAGAGATGAGAGAGAGAGAGAGATGGAGAGACAGAGAAAAGTTATTTGACCATCTCACGAGAATGTCATAAACTAAACTTTTCTATGAACAGCCATTGCAGATAACATATAGTATTCACTTTTTTTTCAGGCCTGCAAGTACGCACTGCGTCTGTTGGGACCACTTCTGGGGTCTGAAGTTATGAATGACAAGTTTCAGCGCCACCTGGTGGAGGATGGTCATCTCCACTATGGAGAATTCATGAATGATTTGGCTAAACTCATTGTATGTAGTTTCTCACATATTTTCTAAGCTTAGATAATGATGCTCTGTCAACTTTTTTATGTGCAGTTTTTTCCCCCCACCCAGTTTCATAATGTCAACCCAAACCTACTCCAGCGTAAAGAGCCATGTCCACTCTTTCAGGCACTCGGTAGGTGATGTGACATCACATGACCCCCAGTTGTTACCTTTAATAAATACACCCTCCTTTAGTTATGAGTAAATCAGGAATTGATATCATTGTACTGAAGAGATTCCCTGAGCAGGCAACAAAGAGCTCCCATATTGTTGATGCCAGCTGCTTCTTCTCTTCTTCTTCTTCACTTCCTCTTTTACCGCTGTGGGTGTCGAGGGAGATATAAGGTTCTGTTTCTAGCTCTTCTGGCTGCCTCGACCATAGGCACATCGTGCTGTTGTAGAGTTTCTCTGATGTTATCCTTCCATCTTGTTCTTGGTCTACCCCGTGCTCTACGTCCTTCTTCTCTTTCCATGTATGCTTTGTATGGTATGGTGTCACAAGGCATTCTCTCTAAGTGGGCAAACCATTTCACTTGCTGTCTTTGTATGTAATCCATAATTGGTTCTGTGCCGACTTGTTCTCTTATGATCTCATTCCTGATTTTATCTCTTATGGTCACTCCTACAGCCCTTCTCAGACATCTCATTTCCGTGGTTACTAATTTTTGCCAGCTGCAACCTGATTAAATGTTTGCCTGTTTTTTTTTGTTTTTGTTTTTGGGGTGGGCGCTTATCAAATGGTCTACTTTTTATCTAGTTGAAGCTAATTTCTTACATTATCACTTGATAAAACCCAGATCAGGAGCATATTATGAATTTTCTGTCCAGGATATTCAGGTGTGTGAGGTAACGAGCAGGCTGATAGATTGGCTGCTACCACTCCTCTGGGTGGTGAGTTACTATATTATAAAGTGGATGTGGTGAAGGCTTTATGGGATCAAAAAGACAGTGCAAGAGAACAGATAGGGAATCCATTCACTAAAAGACTGATTCTATTGGTGGTGGGTAGAGGTACTTGAAGATACTCACCATTGAAGGGGAAACATAAGCGGACTTTTAATCAGGTTGCATCTGGTACTATTAGCCTGTCAACTCTTCTTTAGCTACTGAAGAGAGGGACAGAGCATGTATGGGAATGTCCTGAGGTCAGCAATTCTTGATTTATTCCTTCATTTCTTACATTACATCTCCATGTGTATTCCGGTCATAAACATTTTCCCTCCAGACTGTGATATCAACCGCCAATGTTTTCATGTCACTGATCCAGTTATAACCTTGCAATAATAGCTGTATCTGTTAGAAAGAGTTTGATTATTGATTTAAGAGTCGACATCATAGCATACCGAGCATACCCATAGATCTGGTAATCTGGTAATCCTAGTTTCAGCTTCATAGCAAACGGGTCACCCCATAGTTGCTCCGCTCCTGTGCCAACGAAAAATACACGTAGCTCACAGTGTCACGCCATGCACTCAACTCAGAAGCTGGTCGACGAAACTATTAAAACTGGAGCTGCTGGGTACCAATCCTGGTACCTCTCACATGCCAAGCGAGCGCTCTACCATCTGAGCTACAACCCCGATGTGATATACCCATAGATGCTCCGTCTCCCGCAGAAAATGTCATAGGATGTAGCTGCTAACTGTTCTTTAGCACACTGATTATACACAAGTTGTTCTCTTCCTCTCGTCCGTCCCTCCTTGCCGGATCCACACTTAATTCCTCATTCACACATTCTTGCACATGTTATTTCATCTGATCTTGCGTCTTCTGTCAACAGTCATTCATATATAGTCTTCAGAATATCTCCCTTGTCCTGCAGCTTTCACTTTTGTAGCCAGAAAATATGCTCTTTCATTCCCTCGCACTCGTGCATGTCCCAGACTGTATATCCACGATTCCCTGCAAAGTTGGCGTACTGATTCATGGTATCCACTCATGCCACATTAGTCCATTTGGAACCTTCCGCAATTCAGACTGAGAATCAGACACAGTAACTCCTCTGGTAACTTTGTGTTCTGTTATCCAATTCAGAGCTGCAGTGATTGCCCCCACTTCCATCCTCATGCTTGATGTTGTAGATAAAAAAAAAAAAGCTCATTTTTGTTCTGCCACAATTTTTCCCTAATTCTAGCTGAAAACCCCTAGC